CTTTCTGCCAGCCCCATCCCTGAAGCCGCAGCCCACGACACCACCCTCCCATACCCATGTTCTGGATTTCCTTGTCTCCACCGTAATCCGTGATTTTCTTCCCCAGGTTCACCAGCACGTGGTAGCGGGTATCATCGGTCTGTCCCAGCAGCAGATCGATCTCCTTCCGCCTCTCCTTATCGCGCAGTTTCTCATTTTTCAGTACCGCCAGGACCTCGTCGGCGGCTCCGCAGAGGATGTCACGCGGCTGCCAAAGGAATAATGCACCAAAAAGAAGAAAAAAAACTTGCTAAGTGAAGAGTACGGGGTCGCTCCCTCCTATTTGCAGACCCCCATATAGGCACCAAAAGGCCGCCCCCACAACTCAGGTGCCATCGCAACGTCCCTGAGCCCAAAAACCAGCACTGACAGAGCGAAGCCATCCCGTGGGATTACAGGGAATGATTAAAAACCATCCAAGAGCCCCATCTTACAAGCTTTGAACGGTCTGCCAGAGCTGGGACACCCGTCCCGAGGCGTCCCCATCCTCACCTGGTCCCCCAGAGCTGCCTGAATGAAGCTCAGCAGCACCTCGTAGGTCTCGCGGGTCTCCTTGGTTTTGGGTTTGTAGATGATGCCCACCATCTCATCGATGCCCTCGGAGAGCAGGGTGTAACCCTTCATCTTGTTGATGTCGTGCCTGTCCTCGTCACGCTTCCTTCTCCTGGAAAAGAGAGGGAGGAGAGCGCCGGGGTCAGCCCCACGGCTCAGCCCTGCTCCTGCTCCTTCAAGTACAGCTAGGCTCTTTTATTTGAAAAAATAAAGGACAAAAATAGATATTTTTTTTGGTTTTCACTTCAATCCTAGTTTCTCAACATGGAGCAAGCGACTCCAAATGAAGAAAATAATATTTCTGTGTCTTCCAGGTTGGCAGTTTTCAGTCTGCAGCCCTGTGCTCACACCACCAAAACATTCTCCACTACAAAACACTCCCAGCGCCGTTGAATTCTACCCCCCCTTTAACAACACCAAAACAAACCAAAGCTGCATCAGAAATTAAAAAGTAATTGCTCAGAGCGTGTTTAATGCAAACACAGATCTCCGACAGGGCTCCGCACCCCCTCGGCTCCGAGCTCGCACTCACTTGGCTCGTCTCTCCTCCTGCATTTGGGGTTTGGTTCTCTGGGCTTTGTCCCCCATGCGGGTCCCCTCCAGTTTGCCCACCAAGGACAGAACTTCCCCCGTCGGCTCATCCCGCCGGGTCCGGTCGATCAGCGAGCGATCGGCTTGGAGGACAAGGTTGGAGTTCTGGGAGGAGAAAAAATTAAGGGCTGAGGGGGGTCGGGGAGGAGGTCACACGGGTCCCGTGGGTCCTCTCAGTGGGGCAGCCCCACTCGGGAACCACAACCAACCACGGCAGCACCAGTCACACGCGCAACGGCTTCTTTTATTACCTCAAGGAAGAAATAACTGCTTTTTAATTAACTGGGGTGTTATTTAACATATACACACACCTTCCCCCCAACACCTTAAGGCGCAGGTTTAGATTTTAAGCTGGGACTGAGCCGCCCAGCACCATCCCGGGGCTCATTTCAACCGGGAGAAGCGGCACACGCCTCACTTGTGAGCTCCGGTAGCTCTCAGTGCCCGGAAAGCTCTGCTTTAAGGAGGAAAAAAGCTCGGAAAAAAAAAAACTTTAAGAGAGTTTTAGGGCAGAGAACCGCTCCCCACCCCCCCCCCCCCCCCCCCCGCGGTGAAGGCCCGTTACACCGAGCTGCCCTCAGGCCGCGTTTCGCGGGGGGAGCCGGGGCCGGAAGGGGCGCGGGGGGGTGTTTAGGAGCACCCGGCGGGTGAAGGGCCCCGGGGGAGCGGGGGGCCCGGCGCGGGGCCGCACTCACCGCCTTGTACTCGTACTGCAGGCTCCGCGCTGTCACATCCGCCATGGCGCCGCCGCGCACCGCCTCGGGCCGCGGAGCGGAACTTCCGGGGCAAGCGGAAACGGGAAGAGGAAGCGCTTCCGCGGGAAAGGAGAGGGGACACCCCCCCACACACACCCACCCACACCCCCCCACACACACCCACACACACACACCCACACACCCCCCCACACACACCCACACCCTCACACACCCCCACACACACACTCTCACACCCCCCCACCCCGCTCGGCACCCCCCAGCATGCCCCGCGGCACCTCCCCGCTTGGACTACAGTCCCCAGCATGCACTGCTGCGCGGCGGCGGGAGGCTCGGATTGGCTGACGGCGACTCCCCTCAGCGGACTCCTTGCCCGTGATTGGCTCATCCGCGCCTCCCCGCCCCCGCCGCGTTCTCCCATTGGTCGCGGCGGACAGCCGGGCCTTTGAGGCTTTGGAAGGGCCGGGGCGCGGCAGGTAGGCGGGTTCAGCTGCCGGCCCGCTCGCTTCCTATTGGCTCTCCCCGACGTAAGCCCCGCCTTTTCCTCACAGCCCCGCCCCCAGGCCCGTGGCCGCCATTTCAGGGTCTCCCCTGAGGGGCCGGGCCGGGCGCTGCCATGGCCGCTCGCCCTCAGGCACCTAATGCCCCTTTCTGCCCACACGCCCCGCTCTGGGCTCGTCAGCGACGGCTTCTGGAAGAGCCTCCAGTAGTACCAGCAGCTCCGCGCCCTCAAGCACCTCGGGGTGGGCTTGCCCTGCCCTGAGGACGGCTGTGAGGGGAGCAGTGACCCTCCTGTTAGCCCCACAGCGTCCCAAGGGGGACCCATGGCCCCCTCCCCCTGCCCCAAGGGGGTCCTGTAGCACCAGGAAACGGGTGAGCAGCCCCGAGCTAACCAGCCAGCTGGTTCTGGGCACGTCCTGGCGCTGTTGGAGGTAGTTGTGAGGTCCCTGGGGGGTGAGGCCTGTCCTGGGCAGCCACAGCAGGCTGGCAGGAGTTTTTTTTTGGGGGGGTGTGGGGGGTGTGTGTGGGGGGTCACCCACCAGGCATGGCCAAGGGGTGGGTGTCCCCCACAGCGAGGGTGATGATTCCAGCGTGCTGCTGGCAAGGGATGAGCCCCTGAGCCCTGCGGACCACTGGCAGGTGAGTGGGTGCCCAAGGGTGGGTGCTCAGGCGTCGGGGGGGGGGGGGGGGGGTCCTTGAGGACGTCCTGGCACCCACCGGGTGTTGTGGCACCTGCTGAAGCGTCACCCTTCCGCTGGATCCAGGCTGGATCCACTTGACCGGAGTCACTGGTCCGGGAGATGAAATTAAGACTGGCACCCCCCCGGGCATGGGGGCTGTGCTGGGCATCCCGGGGTGCAGTCACCCTGCCCTAACTGCCCTCGTGCCGGGGAGCGGAGCCCAGCAGCCCTGTTGTGGGGATGGGGTCCCTGGGGTTCCCCGCACAAAGACACCCAGCTGCCCAAAAAGCACTGGACCCCTGCCCGGGCTGGGGTTTAGGGGGGTCTGCGCGGTGCCCGCTGCCCTCCTGTCCTGCTTCGCTGCAAAACCCAGATTCATCCTCATCGTCCACCCCGGGGAGTCCCATCTGCACCTGCCTGGTGCCCGCTCCCACCCTGACGCCCACCTCAGAGCACGTTGGAAGGGCGGGCGGGGTGTTTCGGGGCGATGGGAGGGGGACAGGGGACACGGGCAGAGCCCCGCTCACCCCCCTGTCCCTCCCCCAGCGATTTGCGTGCCCGCTTTCCCCCGCAACAGGAGCCTCGGCCAGCTCTCCCGCTGCCCATCCTGCGCTGGCTCCTCCAGGTAAGCCCCTGTGGCAGGAGAGTGTCCCCTTCTGCCGTGCCCACCCTGGTCACCCCAGCACGGCGGGCGGGAGGGTGCTCCCCACCCTGGAGCCCTCCCCCCCCACCCTAATCCCTTCTGCAGTTTCCAGGAGCCTGGATCCATCCTGCTCCTCCCCGAGACAGATGAGCCCCGGTGCCACCAGCACGCCGGCCCTGGTTGACGCAGCTTGGTGACATCTGCAAGGTGGGAGGCTGCTACCCACACTGGGGATGCTGCGCCTTCGTTATCTCTGCCCTGCTAATTGGGCGCGCGGCGCTGATGCCAGCTCCTGGAGGGGTGCCCGTTGGGGCTGCTGTGGCCTTGCCAGCCTGTCCCTGCCCTGGTGGGGATGTCCCCGCGGCGGATTTCGGGGGGGGGGGGGGGGCTCCTCCGTGACGCACTGCCGTTGCCCTCCAGTTCCTGGCGCTGCGCGTGGTCACCCAGCCGTGCCGCTACGCCGACGGTGCCCTCCTGGCACCCGTCACCCTCCTCCTCTCCTTCCTCGGCCTTGACCAGGCAGAGCTGGCAGCGATGACCTCCCCAGGCGTCCCCGTGCCACCCGCGCCCCGCGGATTGGTGACAGGGAGCTGGCACGGCCCCGTGCCAGGGCCGGGCGGGCTGGGATGCGTCTGCCTTTAATTCTTTTATTCCAGCCGGTTGCGCAGGCACAAAGCGGGCAGGATCCGGCTGCCGGCACCGCCGCCCCTCGCCACGGGTGTCCGGAGGGCACCGGGGCCGTGCCGGCGCTGCCTGGACGGCACCGGGGGATGGCGGCGATGGGTGCGTGGGTATGCGCCGGACCCTCCCTCGCGCTTCTTCCCTCCCCCCCCCTCCCCACGGAGCTTCGCCGGCCCCTGAAATTTCACGCCATGGCCCGGCAGCTGAGGCCCTGTGCCTCCCCCCGGGGCGCACCCAGAGGTGGGTGCACCGGGTGCCGGGGCTCCGGCATGGGGTGCGGGTGCCCTGACCCCCCCCCCCTCCCCGATGCTCGCTGGGGGCTCGCAGGAGCTGGCGGATGCCGGCCAAGGGGTGGGTGCTCCCCTTGCTGGGAAATGGGTGCTATGGGGCACCCCGCAATGTGCCCCGCACCCCTTTTGGTGAGCCCCAGCTCAAGGGCCTGGCCACCCTCCTCTGTGCCAAGCTGGCGTAGGGCAGGGGGGGTCCCCACCCCCTGTCTGTCCTGGGGTGCTGTGGGGCACCCCAGAGCTCCTCCAGTGCCTGGAGGTGCGTTGGGGTGGCCACAGGCACCCCAAAAGGGTTTTGGGGTTTCCACCCCCACTAGGCTGAGCTGAGCCAAGCTGGGCTGGGTTGGATGGAGCTGGGCCAGGCTGAATTGAGCCGAGACTGGCCAAGCTGGGCTGAATTGGAGTGGGCCAAATTGGGCTGAGCTGAGTTGAACTGGGCTGAGCTAAGCCTGGTTGAGCCAAGGTGGGGTGAGCCAAACCAGGTTGAGGTGGACTGGATTAAACCAAGCTAGGCTGGGCTTGAGCCAAGCTGGGTTGTGTTGGACTGGGCTGAATTGGGTTGAACCAAACCAGATTGAGCCAAACTGGGCTGAGCTGAACTGGATTAAACAAAACCGGGCTGAGCCGAACTGGTCTGAGCTGTGCTCAGCCAAAATGGATGGAGCCAGACTGGGCTGAGCCGAACTGGATTAAACCAAACTGCGCTGAGCTGAGCTGTGCTCAGCCAAACCAGATTGAGCCAAAATGGACTGAGCCGAACTGGATTAAACCAAACTGCGCTGAGCCGAGCTGTGCTCAGCCAAACCAGATTGAGCCAAACTGAGCTGAGCTGAACTGGATTGCGCTGTGCTGAACCAAACCCGATTGAACCAAACTGGGCTGAGCCGAAATGGATTAAACCAAGCTGGGCTGAGCCAAACTGGGCTGAGTTGTGCTCAGCCAAACCAGATTGAGCCAAAGTGGACTGAGCTGAACTGGATTAAACCAAACCGGGCTGAGCTGTGCTTAGCCAAACCGGATTGAGCCAAACTGGGCTGAGTTGAACTGGATTAAACCAAGCTGGGCTGAGCTGTGCTCTTGAGCCGAACCGGATTGAGCCGAGCCGGACGAGACCGACCCGATCCGATCCGATCCGATCCGACCCGAGCCCCCTCCCCGCGGGGCGGCCGTGACGTCAGGGCGGGGCGGGGCCGAGCGGAGCCGCGCGGCGCGCACCCACCGCCGCCCCGACCCGCCGCCTCCCGCCGCCTCCCGCCGCCCCGGCCGGGCCGCCCGCCCCGCGCCGCCGCCGCCGCGCCCCGAGGTGAGTGCGGGGCCCCCCCCCCCCCCCCCCGGCCCCCCCCAACCCCCGCCCCCGCCGGGCCCGGCCCCCCCCCCGCCCCGCCCCGCCCCGGTATTGTTGTGGCGGAGCCGCGGGGGCGGGGGGGGGGGAGGAGGGGGAGGCGCTTTGTTCCTCCCGGTACCGGGGAGCGGGACCGGCACCCCCCGGCGGCATCGCCCCCCGCCCTGCGCTGCTGTGGGGGCCAGACACACACACACCCCCCCCCCTCCGGTAACGGGGGAGCCCCCCCCCCCCTCCCCGCGTCGGTACCCGCCGTTGCCAGCCCCCACCCGCGGATGCCGGGTGGGCTCGTCCCGCGGGGCTGCACGTTGCCGTGGGGCTCCCCCCGCCGCGGGGATGGCACCCCCGTGGGGACCCCCCTACCCCCCCCGCGATGACACCGTCGGAGGGACCCCACCCGGGATGGCACCGTCGTGGGGCCGTGGCACCTCGGTTCCCCCGTGGGACCCCCGGGCGTCCAGCACCGCAGCTGGGGACCCGGGGGACCCCCTCGTGCCCGGGGGACCCCAACCATGCCCACAGCACCCTGTCCATGCTCGTGGCACCCCAACCTTGCCTATAGCACCCCAACCTTGCCTGTAGCACCCCAAGTTTGCCTGTGGCACCCTGGCCATGCCCATGGCACCCCAACTTTGCCGATGGTACCCCCAACCTTGCCTGTAGCACCCCAATTTTGCCCGTGGCACCCCGCCTGTGCCCATGGCACCCAAACCATGCCTGGAGCACCCCAAGTTCGCCTGTGGCACCCTGACCATCCCCGCAGCACCCCAACCATGCCTATAGCACCCCAACCATGCCCGTGGCACCCCAACCGTGCCCACAGCACCCCAACTTTGCCTGTGGCAGCCCGACCATCCTGTGGCACCCCGACTGTCCCCAGAGTACCCCAACCGTGCCTGTAGCACCCCAATTTTGCTCGTGGCACCCTGGCCATGGCAGCCCCCCCTCTCCGCCATGGGCAGCCTGGCCGGGGTGTCCCCCATTTCCCACGGCCATGGTGGGGGGGGGGCCATTCCCAGCCCCCCCCCCCTCCCGGAAATCCTTCCCCAGCCGGTGCGGGGGCCCCCTCCGGACCCCCCCCCAGCTTCCTGCTTCCCGCCGGGCAGGGCAGAACAATTCCCGGCCACATCCTGCCCAGCCTTTTTTGGGGGGGGGGGGGGGAGGGAGGGAAGGACGGACAGACAGACACTCAGACCGTGGGGGGCACCCCCAGGACACAGCAGGGGGGGTTCCAGGGCAGGACGTGGGTGAGGTGGGGCCACCCGGGTGGGGTGGGAAGCGGAAGGGCCGTTTCTTCCTCTGTGGACATCCCCCCCCCCCCCCCCCCAAAAAACCCCTGTGACTTGTCACAGCCAGAGGAGGGACCGTGATGGGGTTGGGGGGGGAGTGGGCAGCATGTTGGGGACCCACATGCGTGTGTGTGGCTCCCCCCCCCCGCTGCGTGGGGGGTGCCCCCAGCCTCGTGACACCCAACCCTCAATGACCGCCTTGTCCCCGCGCCGCCCGCGTGACGCTGCCGGTGTCGATGCCCCGTAACCCTAACGGGGGAGCTGGGTGTGTCTCTGGGTGTACCCCCCCCCCCCCCATTTTTTCCAGGTGTCGTATCCCCCCCCCCCCCGTCCCCCCCCCTTCCCCAGCATCATGGCCTCCCACTGGCTGCTGGCTCTCGCCTCGCTGCTGGCCCTCGCCACCGCTGCCACCACCCCGGGGTCCTCGTGGAGCGCCGTGCCCCGAAAAACTGTCCCCTACGTGGGTGAGTACTGTGTGTGAACCCCCCCCCAACCCCAACCCCCCCCCCCCCTTAGTAGGGGTCCCCGGAGAGAGGGAAGCAGGTTGGGGAAACTGGGGCACGGCCATCACCAACACCGAGGTGACACCCCAGGGCTGTGGTTGTCCCCACTTTGGGCAGCTTCTCTGTCCCCCCCCATCCCAAAGCTTGTCAGCACTGCTGGGGGCAGGGGTGCTGCCCCGTGTCCCCTGTCCCCAGCCCTCTGCCATGCCAGCACCCCGAGATGTCATCCTTTTGCCGTGCCAGCTCCCTCTGTGCCCCTGTCCCGTGCCAGCTCCCCGTGTCCCCATCTGTGCCGTGTGCTCTGTCCCTATCCCTGTGCCACGCCAGCACTGGTGTCCCTGTCCCTTTGCCATGCCCCGTGTCCCCATCCCTTGTGCCATTCCCCTGTCCCTATGCCATGGCAGTGCCCCATGTCCTCTATCCCTGCGCCGTCCCACTGTTCCCGTGCCACATCCCCTGTCCCTGTGCTGTCCCCACACCCAAGACCCCCCCCCCGTCCCTTTGCCGTGCCAGCGCCCTGCGTCCCCGTGCCGTCCCCATGCCGTGCCAGCCCGGCGTCCCTGTCCCTGCCCGGGGTGGTGGGGGGAGGCCCTGGCGCCTCCCCCATCAATGAGGCCTTTCTGCGGGGCCTGGGGGCGGGCGGGGGGGGGGTGCAGGGGGGGGGGGGCGTGGGGTCTCGCCAAAGGCCGCTGTGTTCGCCCGGCACCGCCAGCGCCTGCTCCGGTGACAAAGAGCCCTTTGTGCGGCACCGGGGCCGGGGGGCTTCCGGCAGTGGTGGTAATGGGGGGGGGGGGAAGGTTGTGGGTGCCCTGGGGGGGGGTGCCAGCAGTGCCCACCCGGGGAGGGGACAGCCACGGGGGACCGGTGGTGGCATCACCTTGATGTCCATGTGTGTGTGTGTGTGTGTGTGTGTGTCCCTCCCCAGAGCTGAAGGACGCGGCCAAGCGCTTCTCGCAGGGGGGGGTCTCGCATTACCTGACGCTGACGCTGGACGAGGCCGAGGCGCTGCTCTACGTGGGCGCGCGCGAGGCCGTCTTCGCCCTGGCCACCGGCACCGTGGAGCTCAAGGCGGCGGTGAGGTCCCGGGGAACCCCCGGAGGGGGGGGGGGGTATTTTGGGAAGGAGGTGGGGGGGGGGGCATTTTGAGGGAGGGGGGGATGTTTTCAGCGCACTGACTTTTTTCTCTGTCCTCAGATCTCCTGGGAAGCCCCTGTGGACAAGAAAGCTGAGTGTATCCAAAAGGGCAAGAACAACCAGGTGGGGCGGGGGGGGGGGGGGCACAGGGCACCCCAGTGTGTGTGCCCCCCCCCCGCTGCCACCCCTTTAACTTGCTGTTGTGTCGTCCCCCCCCCCCCACCAGACTGACTGCTTCAACTACGTGCGCTTCCTGCAGAGCTACAACAGCTCTCACCTCTACGCCTGCGGCACCTACGCCTTCCAGCCCAAGTGCACCTACATCGTGAGTGCAGCCCCCGGGGGGGGCCCCCCAAAAACCTCTCAAGTTCTCCCCTGTCCCTCAGGGTGTCGTTTAGGGGTGTCTCTGTCCCCAGGAGGGTCGTTCAGTGGCCTTATTCCCATGAGGGTGTCCCCTGTCCCCTTGGAGCATTGTTGGGGTGTCCCTGTGCCCAGGGGGGTCACTGGGGGGGTGTCCCTGTGCCCGGGGGGGTCACTGGGGGGTGTCCCTGTGCCATGGAGGGGTCACTGGGGGGTGTCCCTGTGCCATGGGGTGGCTCACTGGGGGGTGTCCCTGTGCCATGGGGGGGGGTCACTGGGGGGTGTCTCTGTGCCCGGGGGGGTTACTGGGAGGTGTCCCTGTGCCCGGGGTGGTCATTGGGAGGTGTCCCTGTGCCCAGGAGGGTCACTGGGGGGTGTCCCTGTGCCCGGGGGGGGTCAATGTGGGTGTCCCTGTGCCCAGGAGGGTCGTCCAGGGGTGTCCCTGTGCCCGGGGGGGTCACTGGGGGGGGGTGTCCCTGTGCCCAGGCAGGTTGTCCAAAGGTGTCCCTGTCCCTGGAAGCATCATTTAGGGGTGGGTCTGTCCCCATAATGGGTCACCCAGGCCTGTCCCAGAAGGGTCATGTGAGGGGTGTCCCTGTGCACAGCAGGGTGGTTCAGGGGTGTCCCTGTCCCCAGGAGGATCATTATGGGGGATGGTGTCCCTGTGCCCGGGGCCAGTCTGGGTGTGGGGGACATGAACCGGGGAGGGGGTTGGGACCCCCGACCCACTCCCGTGCCCCCCAGGAACTGTCCGGCTTCACCCTGGACCAAGTGGCTTTTGAGGATGGCAAGGGCAAGTGTCCGTACGACCCCACCAAGGGCCACACCGGCCTCATCGTGGGTAGGTGGCACCTCCGGGCACCCACTGGGGTCGGGGGTGGGGGGGGTGGGGGGTGCCTGTTACCTCCCTCACCCCCCTCCCTAAACCCTGGCCTCACAGATGGGGAGCTGTACTCAGCCACCTTCAACAACTTCCTGGGCACGGAACCCGTCATCCTCCGCAACCTGGGCCCCCACTACTCCATGAAGACGGAGTATCTCACCTCCTGGCTGAACGGTAGGGTCGGGGGGGACGTGAGGCAGGGGGGAAAACCCTGGGTCCCCCTGCTCCCCAGCACGGTGTTACCCTCCCCTTTCCACCCCCTCCTCCGCAGAGCCCCACTTCGTGGCTTCGGCTTACGTGCAGGAGAGCGCGGCCAGCAGCACCGGGGACGACGACAAGGTTTACTTCTTCTTCAGCGAGCGGGCAGTGGAGTACGACTGCTACGCGGAGCAGGTGGTGGCCCGCGTGGCGCGGGTCTGCAAGGTAACGGGGAGGGGACAACCCGTGCTGGGGACGCCGTCCTGGCACGGCTTTGCTCCACCGGCGAGCGCGGGTGAGCCCGTCTTGATGGCGGCTGGGCGCCCAGGGGGACGTCGGCGGTGCTCGCACGCTGCAGAAGAAGTGGACGACGTTCCTGAAGGCTCGCTTGGTGTGCTCGGCGCCCGAGCAGCAGCTCCATTTCAACCGCCTCCAGGCCGTCTTCACCCTGCCGGGGGCCGATTGGCAGGACACCACCTTTTTCGGGGTCTTCCAGGCTCGCTGGTGAGGGCACAGGGACGCGGCAGCCACGGGGTTCCCCGTGACCGACGGCTCCCCCTAAAAACCCGCCCTGTCCCTTGCAGGGGGGACGTGGATGTCTCGGCGATTTGCCGCTACCACATCCTGGAGGTGAAGAAGGCATTCGAGGGGCCCTACAAGGAATATCGGGAGCAGGCGCAGAAGTGGGGCCGGTATTCGGATGAGGTGCCGAGCCCCCGTCCCGGCGCGGTGAGTAACCGGCTCCGGGGAGGGGTTAGGAGGGGATGAAGAGGGGTTCGGGATCCGGCCGTGTGCCTGACGCTGCTCTCCCTCCCCAGTGCATCACCGACTGGCACCGCCAGAACGGCTTCGCCAGCTCCCTCGAGCTGCCCGACAACACCCTCAACTTCGCCAAGAAGCACCCGCTGATGGACGAGCCCATCCTGCCCCACCGCGGGCGCCCGCTGCTCCTCAAGAAAGACGCCAACTTCACCCAGCTGGTGGTAGACAGAGTGCTGGGGCTGGACGGCGCCGTCTACGAGGTGCTTTTCATCGGCACAGGTACCTGCTAGAGTCGGGGGGGGGGGGGGAGCTGGGGAGGGGACCACCCCTGGCCTGGGGGGGGATGTCCCTCACCGCCCGCCGTGACCCGCAGGTGATGGCTGGGTGCACAAGGCGCTGAACTTGGGCGCTCGCGTCCATCTGGTCGAGGAGCTGCAGGTTTTCGAGCCGGCGCAGCCCGTGGAGAGCCTGGTCCTGGCCGGGCGGAAGGTGAGCGATGCCCCGGCGGGGAAGGGGCTGGCGCTGGGGGTGTCACCTCAGGGTGTCACCTCGCCCTTTCTTCCCCTGCCCTGGCAGAAGCTGCTCTTCGCCGGCTCCCGTTTCCAGGTGGCCCAGTTGCCCCTGGCTGACTGCGGCCGCTACCAGTCGTGCACGGACTGCGTCCTCGCCCGGGATCCCTACTGCGCCTGGAGCCACAACGCCAGCCTCTGCGTCCGCACCGACGGCCTCAACGGGTACGGTTCCCCAGGGCGGGGGGGACACCCCGCTGCAGCACGGGGTGTCCCCCCCCTCACCTCCACCGCCTCCTCCCCCAGCTCCCAACTGGTCCAGGACATGCTGAGCTCCGACACCCGCGCCTGCACCCTGCCGCAGGTGGCCAAGCAAGGTGAAACCCTCCCCGAGCGCCGCGCAGAGCTGGGTTTTGGCGGGGACGGGAGCCCCCCCCCCCCATTTTCCGCCCCCTCTCCTGACTCCTTTCTCCCGCAGGACCCATCACCCCTAAAAACGTGACGGTGGTGGCGGGGACCGACTTGGTGCTGACGTGCCGTTTGGGTTCCAACCTGGCGCAAGCGCTGTGGACTTTCGAGGGTCGGGCGCTGGCGGCCGAGCAGGCGCTGGTGCTGCACGACGCCCGGCTGCGGGCGCTGGTGGTGCCGGGAGCCGGGGCGCAACACAGCGGCACGTACCGCTGCTTTTCGGAGGAACAGGGCGCCCGGTTGGGCGGCGAGGTGTACCGCGTGGCGGTGTTAGCTGGGGCCGGGGTGCCGTTGGAGACGCGGGCGCCGCTGGAGAGCCTGGGGCTGGTGTGGGTGGTGGCGGTGTGCCTGGGGGCTCTGTGCCTGGTGCTGGTGCTGGTGGTGCTCTCGCTTTGGCGGCGGTTGCGGGAAGAGCTGGGTAAAGGCACCAAAGCCATCGAGAGCACCCTGGTGTACCCCATCGAGCTGCCCAAAGAGCCCCCCAGTCCCCGCTTCGTGCCCAGCGCCGCCTCCGATTCGGATGAGAAGCTCTGGGATCCGGCTAGCTACTACTACTCGGACGGCTCGCTCAAAATCGTACCGGGTCACGCCACTTGCCGTAACGGCGGCCCCCCCGGCACCGCTTCGCCGCCCAACGCCATCCCCGGCCAACCCCTCCACTCGCCCACCCGCATCCACCTGGGTCCCCTGCGCGGTTCTTCCTCCAACGGTTACATCCGCCTGGCGCTGGGGGCCGAGGAGCGGCCGCCCTGCGCCGATTTGGCCGAGGAATTGCGCCGCAAGCTGCAGCAGCGTCAACCCCTGCCCGACTCCAACCCTGAGGAGTCGTCGGTCTGAGCCGTCGGCGGGGGGGGGCAGTTTCCCCCACTCCTACCTCAGGGCCCGGCCCCGGCACCCGCCGCGGGGACCCAACCGCCTCGGCACCAGCACCCGGCTTGGGGCTGCAGCGGAGGGGTCGCTGGTGTCCATCTCGGGGACAGTGGCGCCGGCACCCGTCTCGGGGACGGGACTGCCACCCCGGTGCCGGTACCCGTCTTGGGAACTGGCACCCCGGGACCGGGTCACGCGTTTGGGGCACCGGAGCTGCTCTTGGGCAACGCCTCCGACTTCGGTACCATGACCCGGGGCGAGGGACCCACCGCGGGGACTGGCGCCAGCCTTGGGGACCACTGAGACACACACCCCCCCTTGGCACCACCGCGTCCCCCCTCCCCTCTGGGCATCACGTCGTGCCCCGGACAGCGGCCGCAGGATGGGGTTTTTTTGGGACGATTTAAGACTCGATCGGGTTTTTCTTCCTGAGAACTTTTCTAATGCCCCACTCACTCCCCCCCACCAGGGCTTCGTACCCCCTCAGCTCTGGTTGTAAATACCCCCCCACACCTGCCTGCCACGCCCCTGCACGCTGCCCACCTGGGCCCCCTTTTGTATAACACACCCCCCCCCAGTGTAATTTATTTGTTACTGAAATATATTTATTTGCTGTAAATACGTGAGTATTTTTATATTAATAATAAAAAGGAGTAAAAAAAAATATTGAAAGCAAAGCCCACGGGGTCTGTGTCCAGTGCTGGCTGGGGGGGTGCGGAGGGGGGGTGCTGGGGGCCCCCTGCTGCTGAGCTCATGGAAAAAGGCCGCGCTTGGGGCTATAAAAGGGCATTGCCGTGCCGTTCCCAGAGCAGGGGGGGGGGGGGGGGGCCGAGGCTGCTGAGGCCTGGCCCCATGCCCGTGCCCCCCCCCCGGATGGCCGGGGTCAGGCCTGGGGGGGGCCCTGTGGAGGCTCTGCTGGGAAGGCAGGAGGAAGCAGCACCCGGGGTCCCGGCGGGGAGGAGCTGGGAGCGGGGCCAAGGGCTGCCCAGGGCGTGGGAAGCGGGGCCGGGGGGGGGCCCCCGGGGGGATGGAGGGGGAGCCCTGGGCCCCCCCATAGATTGAAGGAGTGGGGTGTTGAGGTTTGGGTACGCCCCAGCTGGGGAGGGGGGGGGAAGGCCTGGTCTTCCCACAAGTGTGTGTGTGAGATCCCTAAGGCACCCGCTAGCAGAGGGGTGAGCCCAGGACTTGGGGGGGGGGTGAACCCCGGGCCCCCCCCCATAGCTCGGCAGCGCCCGGCACTGCGGGCTGGGGCGCCCCCTGGCGGCGGCGGCGGGGCCCTGCTGGAGGGCGGAGCGCGCATGCGCCCTAGCGCTCGGGGCGTGGAGCCGTTCGGCTCCGCTCGGCCCTTCCCGGCTTCCCCCCCCCCCCTCGCCCGCCCCCCGGGGCCATGGCGGCGGGTCGCCGTTCGCCGCCGGGTCCCTGCTGCCCGTCGCGGGTGGCGGTGCCCAGCGTACACCAGAGCCTGCCCGAGATGGACTTCGAGCGGGGTGGGGACCGGGGGGGGGTGTGTGTGTGTGTGTGTGTGGGGGGGTGTGTCCGTCCGTGCCTGACGCGACCCCCCCCGCCGCTGCCCGCAGGGATCTGGTCGGCGGCGCGGGATGGCGACGAGCCCCGGGTGCTGCGGCTGCTGGAGCGCCGGGGGGAGCCCAGCCAGCCCGACCTGGCGGGGTACACGGCGCTGGTACGGCGGGAAACCGGGGGAGGGAGGGGGGGGTGTGGGGGTTTGGGGGGGGGGGGGTGTCACCCAGCCCCCCCCCCCCCTCCTTTCCTGCACCCCCCCCCCCAGCATTACGCCAGCCGCAACGGGCACCTGGGGGTCTGCCGGCTGCTGCTGCAGCGAGGGGCCCACTGCGACGCCCGCACGCCCGGCGGTGCCACCCCCCTGCACCGCGCCAGCTACTGCGGCCACCTCGCCATCGCTCGGCTACTGTTAGCCCACGGCGCTGACCCGGCCGCCGCCGACCAGGATGGCCGCACCAGCCTGCACAAGGTGGGTGTCAGGGTGGTGTCACCCCCACACCCCCACCCCGCAGCACCTCGGTGTCACCCGCGCGCTGGCGACACCGGATCGTGTCGTACGCAGGCGGCTGAGCAAGGTCACCGGGAGCTCTGCGCCCTGCTCCTGCGGCACAGCCCGGCGCTGACCGACCTCCGCGACGCCAAAGGCCGGCGGCCCCGCGACGTGGCCCACGCGGCGGTGTGGGACCTGCTGGACACCTGAGGGGGGGGGACGGGTGTCGCGGGCGGTGCCGCCGGAGACCGTCCCCGACCGATAAATGAAACCCCTGGCACCCAATGCCGTCTCCGCCTCTCTGTCCCCGGTGCTGGGGGTCACCTCTCAGCAGCACGGGGGGGCCACGCAACCGTTTTTTTGGTTGCCAGGAGGGAGGCGCACACCCTCCACTGGCTTTTATTTCCTCAAAAACCCCACTAAAAAGGTGGGAAATAACGTTTGGTTGAAGCAGGAAACAGGGGCTTGCACCGCAGCCATTGGCTCCCGAGGAGGCAGCGGTGTTTCAGCTCTCCGGTTGCCCGTGGGATGGTTTGTTGTCCCCGGTGGCAGAGGACACAGCCCAGCCACCGAGCTCGGTCACGTCACCTGCGCGGAGAGTGGGTCAGGGGCACCGGGGATGGCGGGAGAGCCGAGGGTGGCTCGGCACGGGGCACAGCGCTCCCAAAAAGCCGGGTGAGGCGGGGGCTCCCCCCAGCAGAGCTGCCCCTCAACGCGCCCTGACAGGCGGGGACGTGGCAGCAGGACCCCGGAGGGGACACGCACAGGGCTGATCGGCCCCGGCGCTGTACCTGCAGGATGGGGGTGAAGTGGCCGAGGGGGTGGTGGCGGCGGTACAGGTAGCTTCCTCAGGGGTGAAGCGGTTGTTCTCGTGGAACTCCAGCTCCTGCATGACGCCAGGACGGCTCAGGAAGTGCAGCAGGGTCTTCTCGGAGACGTGGGTTGGGCTGAAGAGCTCCAGTGCTGTGGGGAGAGCAGCCACCGTCTGCCCGGTAACACCCGGGGACCCCGCGAGCAGCCCGGCGGGCTGGGGGAAGGCAGCCCACTCCCGCCTGTGCTCACCTCACACCAAGGTGGTCACAGGAGCTGCTGCTGGGAGAGCTTTGCCGTGGCCGTTGCCACCAAGCCCTCTTCGATGGGGAGAAGCCTTCCCGGCAGTGCTGTGGCAGGGGCTGGCTGCCAGCACATCCGAATCCCGCCTGTGGCCGGAGACAGAGGGGCAGGAGCGCACGCTCAGGGGTGCACAGTTGTGACACCCCCGTCCCCGGTTGCCCAACAGCTACTGTACTCGACTCACCCAGTATCTCTGGCTTGACAGTCTCCTCGGTGGCGTCCTCCAGAAGAGGGGGGTCTGTCTCGCCCTCGTTGTTCACCGGCACAGCTGGACCCTCTGCAGGCGGGAGCGGGGGAGCTGGCGCAGGGCTGCTGCAGGGTGGCCTTCAGCACACTCGCCTCTCCTGAGCAGCTGGGGGATGGCGTCGAGCTCCGTGTCCCTGAGGACGAAGCGGGTGAGGGCACTCCCCAAGGCTCCACCGGCGCCAGACAGACCAAATCTACCAGGCTGGAGCGTTCGCCCTTGCAGACGGGCGCTTGGTGCCGGCCCGCTACCAGCCATGGTGGCAAAGTCCAGCGCGACGCCGGCCTCCAGCAGAGACCCCTTGGCCGAGGCCCGGCGGCCGGTGCCGCGGCGATCCCCGAGCTGCCGGTAGCGCCGGCCCTGAGGGAAGTGAAGGGCGAGCGGAGCCGGTGCCATCGCCCCCACCGGCGCAGCGCCCCGCCCACTTTCTTCCCGGAAAGCCAATCAGCGCCCACCTCCCCCCTCATCGCTCCGCCTCTCCGCGGCCACCCCTCACCCCACAGCCAATCGCCGACCGCCCCGCACCCCGCCCTACCGCCGTTCCTCCTCGCGGCCAATCAGCGACCGTCCCACCTCACGCAGCGCAGCCAATCGCCGGCCGCTATCCCGTGCGGGGAGGGGCGGTGCCTCACCGCCGCGCTGTAAACAACCCTGGGGAAGGATTTAAAGGGGCCGCGTCCCACCGGTAACCGGGACTCGCCCCCCCACCCCACGCGAAGCACGGAGGAGACTGACGTACAGATATAGATTTTTATTACCCAACTGGCAAAAAAACTCCCCAAACCCCCATCCCAATAAAATTCCACAGTCGGTTTCACAACCGGGAGGGGGCAGGGGTCCTAAGCTGGAGGGGGAGGCCCGGCCCCCCGCCCCGGCACCACCCGGGCCCGGCCTCCCCCAAACGTACAAATCAAACCTGATGCTTAAAATAAATATGAATTCCCGGAAGGGGAGGGTTTGCATAGAGGAAGACTTAATAAAAAAAAAAAAGGGGCTTTTTTTGTCTTGGTTTATTATTATTATTAATTATCATTATTATTATTTCTAGTATCTCCCCGCGGAAGGACCTAGGACCTGATCGTCAAGACATGATTAACAAAAATAATTAACCTTCTCCCAATAACTTACAGAGTTCACCCAGGGAACTTGTGCTTCTTTTTTTGGGGGGGGTGTGTATGTGTGGGTCTCCCCCCAACCACACCCCCCCCCCCCAACACCGGTCACGAAACTCCGGGGGCAGGAAGGTTTTTGGGGGGGGGGGGGGGGGGGGGGGGGGGTCCAGCCAGCGCTCACCAGGGGTCACACATCCTGCCCCCGAGGTCACCGGGGGAGATTTGGGGGTCCCCTTGATGCTGAGGAGGCTGGGGGGGGGGGGTGTGTGTGTGAGACGGTGCTGGCCCCCTCCTGCCTGTACAACTTTGGTCACTAGCTTTGTGCCACCCCGAAAAGCCGGATCCTGCACCCCGTCCCCCCCCTTTTCCCTCCCCCGTCCCGTCCCGGACACCCTGAGACACCCCACGGTGGGGGGGAAGGCACCGAAACCGCTGAGATGGGGAGGGGGTGATGTCCCTGCCGTTCTCAGCACGCTCGTGACACCGGTGGGTGGCGGCGGAGGGGCCGGGGAGTCTCCCGGGATGGCAGAGGGGGTCTCAGCTGTGTCCCGGAGATGTTGAGCCCATCCCCTTGGCCTCAGGCCCGCCGCCTGAGCTCTCCCCCCATCACATCCCCCCCCCGGGTGCCCCGGGCCAGCGGGAAAGGGGAACGGGCACGGAGAAGGCTCACGGCCTCGCTCCGCTTCATCCGACGCCGCCGTCGCGCCGCGCCCCGGGTGTCCCCGTTCCGCCCTCACTCCCCAAAAAACACCCGAGAGGGGGGCCGGGATGCCCGTCCCAAAGCGGCGTACGAAACCTGAAGCTCCCTGAGCTGCACGAGCGCCGTCGGCGGGGCGGCCGGCGGAGAGTTGCGCCGTCTCCACCGCCATCCGTTTAAATTAATTAAAAAAAAAAAAAAAAAAAAAACAAAAACGTTATATAAGCCAGTCTGGAAAGCAGCAGCAAATCCCAGCTCCGTTTCCCACCACGCTGCTGCCACCGCCGCTGCCGTCTCCTCCTCCAGCTCCACCGGGCTTCTCCGGTGACCGCGGCACCCGGCACGGAGACGCCGAGCGTTTCCTACCTGGGAAAAGGTCCCGAAAAAACAGGCACGCGAGGTCCCTCCCGGCGCGTGCCGGCGGGGCCGGGGTCAGATGGAGTTTTCCAGGGCGCTGTGGTTGCTCCGGCGGCTCAGGCAGTTCCTCTCGTTCAGGAGACTGGTGGTCTCGTCGGCGGTGGTGGAGGGTTCCGGTTTCTCCGGTAAACCGGCGTCTGGTTTGGGGGCGTTGCTGTCAGGGGATTGGGGACAACTGTCCATACGGGAGGCCATCAGGCCGTTCTGGTATTCCTGCCGCGTGATCTGTGCGGAAATAATAATAATAATAATAATAATAATAATAATAATAATAATAATAATAATAATAACAACAACAACAACAACAACAATAACAATAACAACAACAATAACAATAATAATAACAACAATAACAATAATAATAATAATACTAATACTACTACTAACAATAATAATAATAATGAGTGGGGGTGAGGAGCGGTGCCGGACCCCCCGCTGACAGCATCCCCGTGGGCACCCGCCTCACCTTGACGAACTGGAGGTCGGTGAGAGCCCGGACGCTGAAGTCGGCCACGTACTGGGCGCCGGTGCCGGCGCTGAGCTGGTTGTTGCTGCCGCTGACGGGGGACGAGACGGAGTCGGAGCGTTCGTGGTAGCTGAGGGAGGCCGAGCGGTTCAGGCTGCTGACGTGGGATGGGGAGCGGACCTCTGCGGGGACGGGAGGGATGGGGTTAGCCGTGCCGCGGACTCCCCCCGCCTTGGGGAGGGTCCTACGCTGTGCCGGGATGAGAGGGGCTGGCAATCCTGCCTGCTGGTTACAGGGTGCTGAGCGCCCCCCCCCCCCAGGGTGATGCCGGTCCTGAGCACCGCCGTCCCCCAGCGAGGCTGGGCAGTGCTGGATTTGATCCCTGCCTGTCGCTTGCCAAATGGCCACCGACCACGTTCGGGGGAGTCCGGAGCTCCCCCACCCGGTTCCGGGCCAAGGGCTGCTCAGGGGACAACAATCCCAGCCCAAGGACACTGTGACTCCCCAAACGGGCGGATCGGTGACCCTGCGTGGGGTTAGGGACGAGGTGGGGGGGTTATGGGGACTGGTGCTGTGCTCAGAAAGCCAGGGTGACACAGGAACCACATGCAGCAGCAAGGAGAGTGGCACCTGGGACAGCCACCACAACGGGCTGCCCAGACGCTGCCCTCCCCTTGGCTCCTCTGCCGTAGCCAGGAAGGAGATTCAAGGAGAAATCGGGGCGGTTACGGGGTGTGCAGGACCCTAATGCCACCGTGAGCTGGGCTGGGTGACCCCAGGCAGCAGCTCCAGCCCCGCGCCGCAGCCCGCACCGGGGCAGGAGCTGCCTTTCCCCCCCCCCCCCCTCTCCAGAGGCACCTGGATGCGGGGGGCTAGAAAGCCGACGGCACGGCGAGGCAACCACAACGGCCTCCTGGCACACGGAGCCGGGCAAGGCGGCGAGTCGCCGGCCCGGCGTAAGGGACAAAACACCTGGTGCTGCATTAATGGGGTGGGGACGCCCACTCCGGCGGGTTAATGCGGTCACAGCGGGGTTTGGCACGCCATGCAGCCGCACCGTTTACCTGTCAACCTGGCAAATAATGACCCTCGCCTTGTGGATGGGCGTCGGGGCTGGGCTGGGAGGGCAGAGAGACGGACAACACAACACACAGGCAGAGGACAAGGTCAAGAGAAGCCTCTGGGGCGAAGCCGGGGGGAGGGGGGGGTGGCTGTGGGTACCTCTGCCCCTCACGGTGACGGTGGATGGGTGCTGGTGACCCCGCGGCGCCAAGCCAAACCACGAGGGTGGGCGTCCGGCTGCTCGCAGAGCCTGGCAGCGACGGGAGGGCAGCCCGAAAACGGGGCAGTGGGTTTTTAGCCTCGGGCACGGACCCTCTGCCTCCTGCCAGACACGCTCAGGCGTCTCCCTGGGGACAAGCGCTGGCTACGCAGCCCCCCCCACCCCCCCCAGGACGGTTTGGGGGGCACCGGCGGGGGCTCGGAGCCTCCAGCATCTCCTGTTCCCACCGGCAGCTCTAAAACAGGGTGGGAGGGCTCTGCCCACGCTGGCACCCAGGCAAACGGGGGGGGTGCTTACCAGGTACCGGAGGGGGGCTGAGGGCCATCACCCCGTAATAGGAGAAAGCTCCCATTTCAAACTTCATGCATTCCTTGCCGGCCTCCACCTCCACCTTGCCCTGCAAAGAAGAGACAGCGCCGGACTCCGTAAGCCACATCCCGCAGCGCCGGGCTGGATGAGACCTTCCCCTTCGCAGCCTTTCCAGGGTGACAGTGCACCCAAGGGACGCCACCCGCGTGGCTGGCAACGTCACCCCGTGCCCGGGTACCTGCAGGATGAGGATGAAGTAATCAGCTGCCTTGTTCTTGCAGTAGAGGAAGTGGTGAGGGGATTTCTTGTTCTCCTCGTCGAACTTCAACTCCTGGATGACGTTGGAGTATTTGAGGAGCCGCAGCAGGATCTTCTCCGAGATAAAGTTAGGGGTGAAGAGCGTCACCTCTAGAGCAAGAGAGGAAGGGGTGGGGGGGTCAGAGCCGCAGTCCTTGTCCCTCTCGACGAAGATGTGGCCCCTCTGTCCCCTGGGGTGGTGCCTGGATCAGGCTGGGCCCCACTGACACCTCCCTGGGGCAGAAACCCAAGGGTCCAGCCCCAACACCAGCTCCAGGTTCCCAGCGAGGCCAGCCCCAGCCTTGGGGACACACATTGCTGTCCAGGGAACAGGAACATCCTGGAGGGACAGGGACCTGCCGAGCGTCAGAGGCAGGGCTGGCATCCCTCAGCCCTGTCCCTTCTTGTTTTGGGGGGGGGGGAGCACGGAGGGACAAGGTGCAAACACCCCGTAAACCCTGAGCGAGGCGGCGGGAGCGACTCTTCCTCGGCGCGGGGACGGAGCCCACGTGGCTGCCAGGGATGTGGCAACCAGCTCGGTGCCGGTGCCCCACAGCCCAGGGGTACCCAGCGCAGTGGGGGGGGGGGGGGGGCTTCCTAAAAAAAAACCCAAAAAACTCACCCGTGGAGAGGAAGCGGTGAGCAGCCAGCAGCAGCTGCGGGGAGACCTTCACCTTCAGCTCGTTAACAGGGTCCTTGAAGGCCGAGAAGTCCCTCTTGTTCCTCTGGTTGCCCACCCGCTTTTTCCTGCCGTTGTCGGCTGTGGGGAGCAGGGTGTCAGGGGGGGACCCCGGCACAAGGCGAGGGGTGGGGGGGAAGAGGGGCCGAGCCCAAAACCTACTGCACGTATCCGACTCGTCCAGGATCTCCGACTTGATGATCTCCTCGATGACGTCCTCCAGCGTCACCAGCCCCAGCACCTCGTAGAAGGGATCTCCCTCCCCTTCGTTGTTCACTTTCTGCACGATGGCCAGGTGGGACTTCCCTGCGGACAGACGCACGGATGTTAGAAGGGAGACCGCCCCGGGGCACCCCCAGCCTCACTGCTGGGTGCTGGGATGGGGAGCAGCTCTTCCCTCCCCGCCACTCTCCTAGACAGGAAACAATAAACCAGTTAAAATCTAAACGAGCCTCTTGGGCTGGGCACTAATTCCCGGTGTAATGACAGTAATTAATCACAGGACAGCGGCGCCTGCGAGGCTCAAGGCACCTCGGTGCTGCCATGGGGTGTGGGCTTGGCCGCCGGGTTCACAGGAGACAGGATTTGTCCCCAGAGGAGCCTGTGCCATGTCACCGGAGCGCGGCGCGGTGCCGGCGGTGGGCTGAGGACGCCCCGTCATGGGTTTCTGCCAGCGGCCCCGACTTCTCCGAATTTCCTCGGCGGTTCTGCCAAGCTGACCCAGGGCTGTTCCCATCCCGGAGGAAACACTCCGGACACCTGGTGCTGCAGCGGCCGCTCGATCCCGGAGCCAAAACATCCGGGGGAAGAGAGCCAAGGGCAGGCAGCCGCTGCCCGGCCGGTCCCGGCCACGAGCAGGCAGGTCCTTGCAGGCAGGAAGATCTCTCCAGCCCTGAATTAACAGCTCACCCCGCTCTGCCGGCCTTACCCCACGCAGGCGGGACACAATTTGCCTCATTCTAGCCAAATCCAAACCGCCGCCTCGTGTCGAAGCGGGTGTTGCTCCTGCCGGCTGCTCACTGAGCTTCTCTGCGGACCGATGTTTCTCCTGCTTTGTCCCCCAAATCACACAGACCCGCGGGGGGGAAAAACTCCTCGGACGAGGAACATCCACCTCTGCTCTGGGGAGAGGAGCCGAGCGGCCGCACGGAAAACCGCAGCGCGCTCGGGCCAGGGCGATGCACCCGCAGGACCGGTATCCTTAGCCTGGGGAAACTGAGGCACGGCAGAAGGCGACGTTCCCTCCCTGACCTCAGCGCAGCCCAAAATAAAATCACTTCTACCTCCGAAAGCACCACGCTCCTGCCCAGGCCAGCAGCAAGGTGCCCCGCTCACCGTCCCAGCACAGATCTGCCCTCCCTGACGCTATCTGCTATTTAATTTTAGAGCTGGCGCCCGCAGGCCCCTTGTCGCTCAGAGAAAAGCTAATTTTAGGGACGGGCACCGCGCAGCTCCCCTTTTTCAGCCAAGCTCAGGCAACCCCGCTGCAAAAAAGGCGATGCATAGAGGGGCGAAAAGATCCTACAATTGTTGCTTGGGCTGCGAAAACCTCTTCCCCGCCTGTCTCACCCCCTCGGCCAGGCTCCTTCGCTCACCGCGTGCCAGGCAGGGAGAGGGGAAAGGGCCGGGGCTGCGGGGCGGTGACTCGGGCAGCGGTTCCTCTCTCCGGGACGAGCAGCCAAGGCCGAGCTCGGCGGGGAGCGGCCGGTGGCAAAGCAAACACGCCCCGGGGAGCCCGAGCAAAGGGCACGGGGCCGGCTGCGGCGGCATCGCCAGCGCGGGGTGGGACGGACCCTGCTGCGGTCCCCACGGGAAGAGGGGACAGCAACCCCCCCCGGGGCTCCCCGTGGGGTCGTGCCCCACTCCAAGCTGCACGCCGGGCACGCGCTGAGGACGAGCAGGGTGGGAGGAGGGGCTGAGCCGAGAGCCAGGCGTCACCGCGGGAGCCGTCACCCCGAAGCCAGCATCTGGGACACCTCTGTGGCACCAGGGGAAGAGGTCCGGCCACCAAGTGCCACGATTAGGACAGGCAGAAGCACAGCTGGTTGATTTTGCCTTCTTTATCCTTTCGCTGGGTGCGTCTCCTGCCTCCGATCCGGGTCCCCATCGGCGGGATGAGGACGGAGACTCGGCGCGGTGCGTCGTCCACAGGGATCGGGGTTCAGAGAGGGACCTCAAAAACAGCCCAGGCAGCGGCCCCACAAATTACCCGCTCACGACCCAGAGAGCCAGCAATGAAAAGATAACAATACAGGACACGGGCAGCTTTGTAACTGCCATGAGCATGCTTTAAATCCCTTAATAAGGATTCATCAGAGGGAAAGCCAGCGCCAGCAGCCGAGATAACTCCGGATCCAGCAGCAATAGGACTCTGCTTCGGCACTGCTGGTTTTTGGAAACGGGGCGAAGCGAAAGGGCCACACGCTCCTACGGCGGTTCTCAAACCGGCCCGAGACGAACGGACGCAAAAGCACTCGCCCAAGAAGTTTGTTCACTAACCAGGGCAGCTCCAAGACGATGAGATCCCATCGACGTTGCCACAACCACAAGCGATGCCGAGCCGCGACCGAGGGGCACTGATATTTTTGGGTGCCAAGGAAGCGCGGCCGCAAAGGGAGGCTGGAGCAGAGCTGCTGTCTCCTACCTACCCGCAAAGATCAGCCAGGCTCAGACCTACCAGCCCAAGCCGATCTCTTGCTGCGGGAGGAATTATTAGATCCCCTAAATCTCAGCACGACCCCCCTCCCAAAATGTCCTCGACAGCGGCAGGACGCAGCAAGCCGTCCCGTTCTCGCGATGCGCCCAAACCATCCCCGGGCGGGTGTAACGGGAGCCAGAGGAGAGAGCGGGGTCACGCAGGGCTGAGGGTTGGCCTGGCATCACCCGGCACAGCCGCTCCGCAGCCGGGCTCTTTATTTCATCCCACCCAGGCGCCGGCAGGAGCTGTGAGATGCTGGGGAGGGCAGGAGGGTCCCCTGCCCGGTCTGGGAAAACACCCGAGTGGGGACCCTGGGCAGGTCAAATCCTGCCTCGGAGCCAACGCGGCCCTTCCCGCTCCTGGAGGGGCTGAGCCTCCGGCAAACCCGGGTCCCGCTCCTCCTCCCAGCCCTCTGGCCACGCTTGCTTTTTAGGGTGCCCCGACGCCGTGAGTGGGGCCGGCACCGAGCCGCGCTCGCTGTTCCCCACGACAGGGAAAGGCCCAGAGGAGGGAGCCAAGCCCAAAGCAGGGAGCTGAGCAATTTCCCAGCAGCTATTCGAGGGCCTCCGGGGCCGATAATTAAAAACAAGGAGCAAGTAAACACTCCCAAAGTGTTTCTCGAGGCCGGCGCTGAGCACGGGCTGTCCCACAGCTGCCGAAGCAGAGGCTCTCCCCTCCTGGCTCAGCACCGTTACACACCAAACCCCGCAAGCCCGGGTTGTTGAGGGCACCGAGGAGCTGCCCCCGGTATGGTGCCAACCCCAACACCGCAGCGGGGTGTCCCCAGGCACCCGGTCCCCTCCGGTTTGTGGCCATCCCAAACCGTGGGGACGGCAGGCAGCCCCGGCGTGGGCAGCTCCAGCCCCAGCGAGCAAAACTCCCTCGAGTTTTGCTTCCAGCACCCCCACCAGCCTCCTCTGAGGGGAAGAAAGCAGCACCCCGAAGCAGTGGAACCCCCACCCCCACCCCCCGAACCCCTCACCCTTTTTGAACTCCTCCAGCATGGCATCCAGCTTGGTGTCGTGGAAGACGACGTGGACGGGGTGGTTGTAGAATTTGGTGATGGTTTTGAGGGGGGTGCAGTCGTCGGGGTCGACGAAAGCCAGGTCCTTGACGTAGAGGATGTCCATGATGTTGGAACGCTCGTCCTCGTAGACGGGGATGCGGGTGTAGCCGCTCGCCATGATCTCCGACATGGTGTTGAAGTCCAGGATGGCGTCGCTGTTCATCATGAAGCAGTTCTGCAGCGGGGTCATCACGTCCTCCACCGTCTTGGTGCGCAGCTCCAGGGCTCCCTGGATCATGTTGAGCTCTTCCCTCACCAGGTCGTTGTAGGGCTCCGTCACCTTCAGCATCTCCACCAGCTTCTCCCGGTTGTAGATGGTGCCGATCTCCTGGCCCAGGATGCAGTCGAGGAGCTTGCTGATGGGGTAGGAGAGGGGGAACGTCACCAGCATGAAGAACTTGGTGACCACGATGGTGTTGGCACCCACGGCCAGGCCGTGGCGGGAGCAGAGCGCCTGCGGCACGATCTCCCCGAAGATGACGATGCCGATGGTGGAGGCGACGACGGCGCCGATGCCGGAGCCGATGAGGTCGTCGAGGAGGATGGTGAGGGTGGTGTTCACCAGCACGTTCCCCAGCAGCAGGGAGCAGAGCAAATAGTTCCCTTTGCGGCGGATGGGTTCGATCTTCCGGGCGTACCGCTTCTCCTTGTCGGTGCCGCAGTTCTGCACGATGCGCAGCTCCATGGGATCCAGCGCCATCAGGCCCAGGTTGAGCCCGCTGAACATCCCCGACAGCACCAGCAGCCCGGCGATGAGGATCACCTGCAGCCAAAGGGGCAAGAGCGACTTCTTCTCCTCCACCACCACGATTCGGCCGTCGGGGCCTTGGTGGGGCAGCCAGGGTTGGCCGGGCCGGCGCTGGGTGCAGAGGACGTAGGTTTTGGCTTGCTCGTCCTTGCGCAGGGGCTGGACGTGGACGCGCAGCAGGGCCGAGGTGTTTTGGGCCTCGGCCGGGCCGGGCTGCACCAGCAGGTCCTGGGAGCGCTCGGGGCAGGTGCCGTTGGGAACCGAAGCGTTGGCGGCGGCGGGGCGCAGTTCGGCGAAAGCCACCCGTTCGCCGGTGCGGGGCCCCAGCCCCAGCCCGTAGAGGCGGAGCAGCACCTCGCTGCCTTCCGTGACGCGGATGGGCCCGCGGGCCGGCGCCTCCGCCGGCGGCTTCGTGCTCTCCTCCAGCCGCATCCCCAGGATCACGCTGTCCCCCGACGGTGCCGCCCCGCCGGGCAGCGCCAGCAGCAGCAGCAGCGGCGGCAGCAGCGGAGGGGGAGACGGGGACGACCCCCCCCCCCCGCCGCCGTTCCCGTTCCCGTTCCCGTTCCCCCCCCCGCAGCCGCCGCCGGTGCCGCTCCCGCCGCCCGCCCCCCCCCCGCCGCCGCGCCGCCGCCCGCCGCCCGGCGCCATGTTGGTGTCTCCGTCACACGCCGCGTCACGCCCCCAACTACCGGGGGGAGGGGCGGAGGAGGGGGGGGGGGGGCGGGATTGTGGGGAGCACGTTACATGCCGTACCCCCCCCCTTCACCTCCCCCACGCCTTAAGGGGGCGATGGAAGAGCGGCCCGGAAAGGATGGCCATCACCACGGCGGGGGGGGGGAGGGCGGTGTCATACGGAGGGGACGGGGGTGGGGGGGAGGAAGAGGGGGGTGAACCCGGGGGAGGGGGGGGGGGGGGAAGGGTTTGTCACGTGGGTAGGGGGTGTCCCCTGCGGCAGGACGATGTGTTTGGGGTGGGGGGGGGGGGGTGTCCAGAGGGCACTAGGACCCGGAGGGGGGGGGGGGGCAGAATGAGGAGAGGGGCATTAGGACCTGGGTGTGGTGGGGTGGCAGAACGAGGAGGGGGGCACTAGGACCTGGGGGGGTGGGGTGGGTGGCAGAATGAGGAGGGGAGCGCTGGGGGGGGACGGAATGGGGAGGGGGGGGCACTAGGACCCTGAGGGGAGGGGGCGTATCAGAACGAGGAGGGGGGCACTCGGACCTGGGCGTTGGGACCTTGGGGGACAGGGCTGAGAGCGGGGGGAGCGGCGGGGGCCCGTGCGCTCCCCCTGCCCCTTTAAGGCGCCCGGAACTACACTACCCATCACCCGCCCCCCCCTGTTGACAGACAGGCCTTCTGGCCAACCAGCGGGCGGCGCGGCGGGCGCGGGGGCGAGGAGGGGCGGGGAGGGGGGGGATAAGATGGCGGCGGCGGGCGGGTGGCGGGCCGGGCTGGCGCTGCTGGCCGTGGCGCTGGGTTTGGGCGGGTCGCGGGCCGAGCAGACGGAGGAGCACCTCAAGCGGGAGCACTCGCTCTCCAAGCCGTACCAGGGTGAGTGGAGCCCCGGGGTGGGTGTCGGGTGTCCGGTAACCGGGACCTGACGGTGCGTGTGGGGCCGCAGGTGTCGGTTCGGCCAGTTCGGGGCTGTGGGACCTGCTGGGCAACGCCATGGTGATGACCCAGTACATCCGCCTCACCCCCGACGTGCAGAGCAAGCAGGGAGCCGTCTGGAACCGAGTGGTGAGCCCCGGGGGGGGGGGGGGGGCGGTCTGGACCGGGGAGGGGGGGGGGGTGCACCGGGCTGAGGGTCGGGCCCGTGGGGGTGGGATAGCGGAGGAGCGAGTTTAAACCAGGGCGAGGGTGGGATGTGGGGGGTTTGGGGTGAGGATGGGGGAGCTGGGGGTAAAGGGAGGGGTGTGGGGAAAGTTGGGGACTGAGCTGGGATGGGTGTTGGGGGGGGGCGGGTCCCGAGTGAAAGGTTTTGGGGGTATCGTGGTGGTGTCGGGGTGTCTGGGCTGCAGGAGGGAGCGTGAGGGGGCCAGGCCAGAAGGTGTGAGGGGTTTACAGGGTGGGGTGATCCCTACAAGGGCTGAGTGCCTCCCCCCGTGAGAATTTGGGGGGTCTGGGCTGGTCTTGGGACTGCCACAGCACACCCGCTGCCCCCGTTGCCGTGCGCGAGCAGTAAAGTGGTGGCTGCGGACGATGTGCCAGTGCTGTTGAGGTGTTTCTCTGCTCTCATGAGTCTTTTGCCCACCAGACAGCAAGGGTGCCTTTAATACCTTGATAATTCCCATTAAATTTAGATTTTGGATTGAAACCACTGGGACTTTTGTGCCCCAGGATCCAGCCAGCTCCACAGTGGTTTGAAAAATGCCCTACGGGACCAGGAGCGATCTGTCATACTCAACTTTTATTTTTATAAAATCCTGAGGGAGGTGTTTGGGGTTTTTGTGTTGGTTTAGGTTTTTTTTTTTTTTTGGTTTGTTTTTTTTTTTTTTACTTGGGTTTACAGCTCCCACAAAACGTTCTGAGCAAAGCCACCAGCCGGCTTCACAACCTCGCGTGAGCGAATCTGTCACAAGCTCGTTGTGTTGCCTGCCCGTTAGCATGGAAAATTTGTTGGTAGCTCAAGAAATAATTGGCTCGTCAGCAATTAGGAGCTGCTCCTCGGGCTTTTTCTGCTCTCCTTTTCCCCGGTGGGAGTTTTTGATTTTGCTGGAGCCATCGCTGCCTCGGAATTGCGTGAGACCAGCATCGGCTCCTTGGGTTTTTATAGCCTTGGGTAACGACCAATTCCCTCAGCTTAATGATGTCCCTTGGGATTAATTATTCTTGCTCACATCCAAAATATAGGGCAGCACGGTGTGTTGGCAGGGGAAATGGGGGGGAGCGGGGCGCTCTCCAGTTTGATGGTAGAGGGATGTGGCGGTGGTCCGGCCCCTCACCCTCGTGGGAAGGGAAACGGCGGGTGCTGGCATGAGGGACACCCTAATTTGACCTCTTTGCTCCTTCTCTTGCAGCCGTGTTACCTCCGAGACTGGGAGATGCAAGTGCATTTTAAAATCCACGGGCAAGGCAAGAAAAACCTGAACGGAGATGGCTTTGCCATCTGGTACACCAAAGATCGCATGCAGCCGGGTAAAGTGTCGGCGGGGGCTGTGCCTCGAGGGGAAGGTGGTGGGGGGCCACGTGCCACCCTCTTGAGGGGTGTGTGTTGGTCTGCAGGCTCGGTCAGGGAAACCGCAGCGGGGAATTGCGGTGGTTTTGGGGCCTTAGGGCTGTTTTTCTTTTGAGGGAGTAGGGACTGTGCCTGAGGCTGCCTCTGAGCCTCGGCGCCCCGGGGTTGTGAGCTTACGGGGGCTCTGGGAGGCTGCAGTCAGCTCAGGGGTAGGCGGCTTTGGGATTATTTTGCCCTGATCTCGAGACGGGCAGTGTAATGGGATGTGTGGGGCCCCTCGCGCTGGCGTTCAGCTCCTTGAAAACACAGACTGCGGGGAGAGCTTGATCCTTGACCAGCAAAGGGTGGGGGGATTTAATCTGGCCCTCTAACTTCTCTGCCTGGAGGGTCCACGTGCTTGATTAACTTCTCAAGGCTGCCTGGTTAGCTGGTACAGAGAACAACGCGAAGGGATGGGTAACAAACCACACCTGCCTGGCCTTGCCCCCTCCTTATTCACAGCCTCTCCTTCCTTCTAGGACCTGTCTTTGGAAGCAAGGATAACTTCCTGGGCCTGGGAGTGTTCGTGGACACGTACCCCAACGAGGAGAAGCAGCAGGAGGTGAGCTAGAAAGGATAAACGGGGCCGTGCTGCTTGCCAGCTGCCTGCAGAGCGTGGCACGGGCAGCGCCGAGGTCATGGCCCGCGTCGCTGCGAACGCAGCTCGTCATCGGTGCAGGGTGATCTTTTTTTGAGCTCTTAAATCCGACAGCAGATAATACTCTGCTGCTTCTCCGCTGCCTTTCCCCACCATGCGCTGCATAGTTGGTTTTCCTAGCGAGGCAATAACTTCAGAGACGTGAAAAGCTGCGGGGCGGTTTTGCAGTCAGAGAAAAGGCTTTCAGGGGCAGGAGAAAACCAGCTGACGCCGCGAGCTCCTGTGCTTTCTGGAAGCTGCCGGAAGGTAGTGGTTGAGGTGAAGCTGTACCAAGAGCAGGGTCTTTGCAGACCTCGAGTAGAGCGGTACCTGAGCTGCCAGCCCGGGGCTGTTCTGTGGCAGGGACTCAGCACGACGCTTTCCCTGCTCTCAGGGATGCAGCGTGACTGCGCTCTGCTGCTTTTAAAGACGCCCCTGATTAAAGACCTTTGTCTGTTGTTTGTTTGGGGATTTATTGGTGTCCGTTCCTGTGGAGAAGAGAGTGCAGAGGCAGTTAGAACCGGGCTCTTCCCACCCTGGTGCTGGAATCGCTTCCATCACTCCAAAAACAAAGCTGGACTCTTTCTTAATCCCAGTTTCCCCTAAAAAATAGGCACTATTTTACCCCAAGACCTTGGCGCTAACCCCACCGCCCTGCAGGACCCCCTTCATCCCGGGGAGAGAGAGACAAAAGGGTGCAGTTGGGATGTGCCCTGACCTTGGAGCTGCCGAGCAAATGTTGGGTAATTACCGGCTTTTGTTCAAACATCCCAAGCGGCCGGCTCTGGCGCAGGGGTGGACTTTGCGCTCGTAAAAGCCTTTCCAAGCCGCCTGGTGCCGCGTTATCGGCAGCGCTGGGGGGTTAGCCCGGTGTTGGGTGGATCCTGTTGATTTGCAGGGTGGCAGCTTGACATTTTGTGGGGGTAGAGGGATGCGCAGCAGGTCTTACTTAAAAGAAATAATCAGTGGAACGTGGGTGTCCGGCTTCTTGGCGCTCTCTGCAACCGGAGGGGGCTGCCCTCTGCCAGTCGAGCGCCGAGGAAGGGAAGAGAGGGAGAAATGGTGTGTGGGTTCACGGTTGCTTTCTCTCACCTTTTAAATGGCAAAAAGGAGTGCCTTATTCTCGAGGGGCAGGTTAGGTGCGTGTCCCCGGGGAGCCGTCGTGGCTGCTGTGTCCCCTGGCTTTTGTGTGAGCGAGCTGCTGCGCGCCGGGGAGGAGAAATGCCGTCCGTGGCAATGCTTGACGTGGCTCTCGCCCACCGGCGCCGTTCCCTTGCTGTGTGTCCTCACACCTAAACCCCTCTGCTAAGCCGATAAGGTGCTGAGCTCTCTAGGGAGGAAGTTTCCAGGTTGCAGGTTAACACTAAACTCTGCTCTGTGACCGTCTTGCCTCTGTGCTCTTTCTTGCTTTGCGATAACCCTGGACTGGCAGGCTCAGAAGAGGAGGTACAGCCCGGGAAATCAGGTACTTGCTCTCGCTGACCCGCCCGTTCCCAAGCTGTTGGGTTTCACCTTGATTCACAGTTGAGGAATTCCCTCCTCCGTGCTCCAGAAATCCCTGTGTGAGCCGGGAGAGACTGCATGGAAACCGGCTGTTCCTCCATCCTGATGTCTGGGAGCTGAGGCTGAGCCTGAGGAAGGCTTGGGGAGGGGGGTGGATGGAGCAGGATCGTGCTGTTGTCTTGTTGAGGCAGATTCTTGGCAGCGGGGGGGAAAGGAGTTTGGGGTTTTGGAGGTGTGTTGGGATTCACAGCCAGCGGGTAGAGCTGAGCCGTGGCTGGTGGGTCGAGAGCAGAAACTCACCCCCAGCCTTGCCCCTCCTGGCAGCGCGTCTTCCCCTACATCTCGGCCATGGTGAACAACGGCTCGCTCACCTACGACCACGACCGGGATGGGCGACCGACGGAGCTGGGGGGCTGCACGGCCATGGTGCGCAACCTCAACCACGACACCTTCCTGGTGATCCGCTATGTGAAGAGGAGGCTGACGGTGAGTGCCGCCCGCCCCGGGGCCCAGCGGGCGCCGTGGCGGGGCTAAGGGAGCTGCTTCTTTCTCAGGTGTTGATCGACATCGACGGGAAGCACGAGTGGAGAGACTGCATCGACGTGCCGGGCGTGCGCTTGCCCCGTGGCTACTACTTTGGGACTTCTTCTGTCACTGGAGACCTGTCAGGTACTGCCCCGGGGTCCCCAGCCTTCCTTCCCAAGCAGCTCTGACAGCTCTGGGTGTCTGGAGGCTCGGTTTGGTCCCTGGTGGGGCTTGCAGAAGCACGGGAGGACTTTTCCAATGCTTTAAACACCCCTGAGCTGTGAGCGGGAGCCTTGATTTTTATCTTGCAGAAACTCCTGAGGAGCCCAAAGCCCGGTCTGGGCGCGTTGCTCCCCCGAGAGCTTTAAGGCAGAGCTTCCCACTTACCCTGAGCTCCCTGCGAGGCCACGGCCTGACCTCAGCCAGCCTCCCTTAACACCACGGCGGCTGTACCCGCTGAGCCGGAGGGTCTGTCTCCGAAACACGTGCCTTGGGAGGAGTAAAAACAGGATGAGCACTGAAAGAAAATCTCCTGTACTCTCCTGCTGCAACCTGTGGTGCCTGCGTTAGCAAGAACTGCCTCTGCTGCCAACACCCCAGGCGTTGCAGCCAAGCCACCGTGCCTGTTCCTGCTCCCTGCCCCTGTCTCTGGGACACGCCTGGGTGCGTTTTGCCTTGGATTTCATAGCCCAAGAGCTATTGCCCACCCGTTGTTGAGGGAGGGACCAGCCAGGCGTGCCTGGAAACGGTGGTGCAACGGTGGGCTGATGTCAATCAGGTTTTGCAGAGAGCTCTCCGCCTTCCTCCACCTCTCCCAGCGCGGGTCGAGGTGCTGTGAGGCCAGCCCTTACCTCGCTGTGCCTTTTTAGATGGGTTTTAAGCCCTGTTTGAGCCATTCCTCTACAAAAGCGCATTGATGACCGGTGTCTGGGCTCATTGTTGCCTCCAACAAAAGTTCCTTTTCTCTCTCAGATCTCTGCCCAGTGCCCGGGAGCTGGCGGGCTGGCGTGCAGCGCTCGCCTTGCCCCACTAACAACTCCACCGTCACGAGCAGAGGAAGCAGGGCCACGTGAGGCCGATGCTAACGCATTCCCTTCGGGTGGCCGGGCAGTTTCGAGTCAGATGATCTCTCGGTCTGGGTTGTTGTTTTTCAGTTTTAAGTAGCTTAAAGGTTCCTGTTGGCAGAGGGCCCTGCGCCGCAGCGCAGCTCTCAGCCCGGCGTAGACGCTGCCCTGTGGAGGTGAGGGGTTTTTTTTTGTTTGTTTGGTTTTTGTGTTGTGGGTTTTTTTTTGTTTTGTTTTGTTTTTTTTTTTTTTTTTCCCCCCCTCTTGGAAGGGGAGAGCTGCCACTTTTTGCCCCAAGTGATAACATGCCACGGTGCTGCCTGTGGCACTCAAATCCCTGGCTGGAGCTGTGTATCGGTGGCACCCCGGGACACATTTCTGGCTTTGCTTCCAGACAACCACGACATCATTTCGCTGAAGCTTTACCAGCTGACGGTGGAGCGGACGCCGGAGGAGGAGAAGCGGGACAGGGAGGTGTATCTGCCTGTCGTGGACAACCTGAAACTGCCGGGAAGTGAGTAGGAGCCACCGACCTCATGCAGGGCAAGATGGGACCGGCACAGATTTTTGGTAGGGGGGGGGGGTTGTGGAGCTGTGGTGCTTGCCAAGCAGAATCCACATCATCTCGCCAGCAAACCAGCCGAGCTCCGGCTGGAATCGGGTCGCTCTCGCCCGTGGGGAGGGTGTCACAGCCCGCCTGCCTTCGGCCCCGGGCGCAGGGGGCAGCAGCACTCACCCTCGGAGAAGTTCTGCCTTCCTCGAGGACCCTGGCCAAGCGTGTCCCCTCCCCTTTAGTCATGCCATGCCCCAAACGGGGTGTGCTGGTCCGTGGGAAGCTCTTGGAGGTTTTTTCCCCCTCCGTGGGGGGCATCCCCCTTCCAGAAATCCCACCACAAATGTGGTCCGCAAGCCCTTTGTGTGCCCCGAGGTCTCAGGGCTGCAGCCCTTACGATCACCTGGGCCCAGAAACTTTGGGCAGCCAAACCTTGAGGTGGTGTGAGCCTTGGCAGGGTGTGTGGGGGGGTTCCCGCTGTGGTGGGGTGGTTAAACACCACCCCCCCCCCCTCCTCCCAGTCCAGGCAAATCTCAGCTGGGTTTTGGGGCTCTGGGGGCTCACAGGTTGGTTTTCTTCTTCTGTCGCGCAGTGGAGGCACCGCTGGAACCCATGAGTGGCCTGGCTCTCTTCTTAATTGTCTTCTTCTCCCTCGTTGCCATTGTTTTCGCCATCGTCATTGGAGTCATCGTCTACAACAAGTGGCAGGAGCAGAGTCGAAAACACTTCTATTGACTTGGGACACCCCCACCCCACCCCGAGATGGCCCGTCGCTAGTCCTTGCTAGCCACGTCCCGACTCCCACCCATCCCAGACTGGCCAGAGCGCGATGGACTGACCCTCACGGCGGGGACCCTCATGTCCCACCCCCCCCAAACCCCCCAGCGGGGATGGCTGCTGTTTCTCACCGGGCTCCAGAACCCCCACGCCGCCGCCGGTGGGGGGGGGGGGGATCCCCAGTGTGGTGTGTGATGGACTGGGAGCCGAGCCCCCGTCCCCCCCCCGCCCCGAAGGAGCTTTGCTGTGGGAGTTGTGGAGGGGGGACAGGGGGTGCAGGCGGCGCTGAGCCGCGTCTCTGCCGCACGGGGAGCCCCAGTGCTGCAGAAGCCAGGCTGAGAGGCGTGCCAGCGAGCGCCTGCTTTCCTCACCAGCCTCCTACACCAACCCCCTCGCGGCGTTACCGAGCGATTTGATTTCCAGGAGAGACTTTTTTTTCTTCTTTTTTTTTTTTTTTTTTTTCCAAGCTGTTCATCCCGCTCCGGCTGCTTTCCATCGCCTGCCTTCAGAGACTGGACTTCGCTTCGGGCTTTGAATTCCCCCACGGCCGTGCAGCCCCTCTCTGCCCCCGCTGCTCACCAAGCTTCGGTGTTTTGGGGATGCTGATTTTTTTTTTTTTTTTTTTTTTTTTCCCCGCCCCCCCCCCCCCCCCCCCCCCCGGCGGAGAGGCAGGTTGAGCTGGGAACCCGCCTGACTCACCCTCTGAAGATCAGCCCGTCCCCTCCGCGCAGCCAACCCCCTCCTCGGTTTGGGGCGTTACCGCTGGGTTCCCCGTTTTTAAGGACCGTTTGCTGCTGCTCCTCGGGCCGCCGCCTCCGCACGCCTCCCGTCCCGGCGCTGCCGCCTGCGCCCGTGCTTGTTTGCATGTCGTGTCGTGGCTTCTGGCAGCTTTGCCCTCGGCGCTCGCTGCGTCCCGGGGTCCCCCCCCACCCCGAGAAGGAGCTGAGCCTCAGCCGGGGGGGGGGATGGAGCTGATTCCCCCACCGCTCGGAGCCGGAGCTCTCGCCGCCTTTCAGGGAGTCGTGGTTTATTCCTACCTCAGTGACTTTGCTTTGGTCAATGATTTTCCCGGCGTTTCTCTCGCCCGTTGTCGCAGCCGCGACCCCATCGAGCGCTCGTGAGGCGATGGCACGGGGAGTCCCCGCGGGGACCCACGAGCGGGAGATTTTTAGGTCAGTTTGTCCCAGGAGAGTCTTTTAGTGGCTCTGGGGGCCATCAGGGTGGTAAATTTGTCGCCCCTGCCAGGCCCATCCTGGGCAGCACCCTCCTCCCTCTGGTCCTGGGGAGCCGTGTCCTCGCCCCACAGCTTTCCAGGACACTCACACCCACGAAGGGGTCCCAGTGGTAACTGGGGTGGGGGCCATGTGTGGCTGGTAGATTTTTTTTTTTTTTTTTTTTTTGGTAGAATACTGTTGCCAGGGTAGATCGGAGCTTTTTTCTAAGTGCCCAACGGTTGTGGCATGAAAGGAGAGAGTATTTCTGGTGTTTTGCCTCTTTTTTTTTTTTTTTTTTTTTTTTTTCTCCTTTTTTCCCGCCCCCCACCCCGATAACCAGGATTGAAACCCGTGTGCCTCTCCCTGGAGCTGTAACTGGTGTCTTGGAATAAACATTGGTGAGTGTGACGGGGCCGTGCTCCTTGTCGCCGCCGGATGCAGCATTTTCCTCCCCAAACTGATGCCCTGGGGGGGGCGGGGGGCTGTGTCCCAGCACCCTGGGGCTCCCCAAAACGGGGTCTCTCCTTCACCAGCACCCCACCTTCCCCCCCGCACACCCCACAGAGTGGGAGACGATGCTCTGACTGTTCCTGGACGTGGCTTTTATTAAAGGCGGGTGCCATCCCCGGGGGGGGGGGACGGCGCATCAGGGCTTGCCCTGGCGCAGGTGGAAGCTCTCGAGGGGGTTAACCAGCTTCATGGCCAAATAACCCTGCGAGGAGGGAGAGAGAGAGGGTTTGGGGGGGATGGAGGGGGATAATGATGGGGGGGGGGGGGGGGCAGGCGTTCCTTTCCCCCCCCCCCCAAACTCACCGGGGTGGAGTAGACGAAGGCGAAGAGCAGACCCAGGAGCAGCAGCAGCGCCAGCGCCAGGCTGAGCCGCCCGCGGTACTGCTGCCACAGCCCGAAGCGCAGGCTGCGCAGCGGCGCCTGCAGCCACAGGAACGACCACTCTGGCCTCCTGCGGGCGACACTCAGCTCAGGGACACCCCCACCTGCTTTTTTGGTTTTTGTTTTTTTTTTTTTCCCCCCACCAGCGACTCACAGGGGTGCCGGGAGCGTCGGGTACATGTTGGGATCCTCCCGGCCTTTCCCCACCGGTCGCTCTTCCGCCTCCTTTGCTGTCAGCAGCTCCAGGCTCAGCTCCAGCTTACCCTGGAGGGGGGGGGAAGTGGGGTACGGGGGCTGTGTTCCCCCACACACACACACTTCCCCATCATCTCTGTCCCCAACACCTACCGAGAGGCGCCGCTTGCCGCCCTCCTGCACCGTGCAGGGCCACCACCCCCTCGCCCGTCTCTGCCGGAAAAGCGAGAGCCGGGAGGGGACCCGCGCCCCCCGCCGAGGCCAGGGGCTTTGGGGGGTCCGCTGGGGTTTTGAGGTGCAGTTCTGGGGGTGCTGGGCTGGCTGCGGCAGCTTGGTGAGCTCCAGCTCCAGGACACCTGAGGGGAAAAGCCGAAGCAGGGAGCAGCTCCCCGTCACCCCTGGGTGCTCCCCGTCACCCCTGGGTGCTCCCCACCACTTGCGGGTGGCCCCCCCGCCACCCTGCCAGGGGACACGGGGCAGGGAACTGGGGGTCTCACCCAGAAAATCATCAGCTGAAAACTTGTCATTGTCCCACACTTGGAGGATGAGCTTGGGGGGCACCTTCAGCACCGTCTCATCCAGGCTCCAGAAATGCTCCTGCCGTGACGGGGCGGGGGAAAAAAGGGGGGTGTCACGCTCATCCCCTGTGTCCCTCCCCCCCCCCCACCCTGCTACCCCCCACCCTAGGGTGCCCCTCGCCTTCCGTGGCAGGACACAGAGCTGCTCGGCTGCCAGGTACTCGAAGGAGAAGACGAAACGCCAGTTGAACGCCCCGTCCCCCTGCAGCGAGCGGTAATGCACGTCCGTCTTCTGCCTCTGCTCCTCCAGTCCATCCAGCCACCTGCCAGGACACCCCCAGGAAGGGGACACTGCTGTCACCTTCATCCCTACCCCTGCCGTCACCTCCCCGGGGTGGGGGGAACACGCGGTGGGGGGCCTTGGCTCACCCCATGACATAGATGTCACTCATCCGCTGCCCCAAAAGGTTGACGTCCCCCAAGTCCACGTCCCGCGTGTTCCAGACCACGCAGCGTAGCTCGTACCTCGGGGGGGACAAACACACACACACGCACGTGGGGACAAGGACATGTTGTCACCTCACCTGGGCTGGCCCTGTCCCACCCCCACCCCCCCCCAGCACCCGGCCAGGCGCTCACCTCTGGGGCTTGCGGGGGGTGATGTCGACGGGGGGCCCGGGGGGCCCGAGGCTGGCGGGGAAGATGTCCACCCACATCTGCACCTTGCCCTGCACGGCACGTGGAGGGGGGGGACCCGGCACCCCTCGGTCCCCATGCCACCATCCCCCCACCACCCTGTCCCAGGGTGTCGCCATCACACCCCCCCCTGCCCCCCAGTACCCTCCCCACCCCTGCTCTGGGGTCCCCATCACTGCGAGGTCCCCATCGCCCCCTTGGCACCCCACCTTGTCCCAGGGTCTCCTTCGCTCCTCAGCATCCCCCCCCCCCGCCCCAGGGTCCCTGTCACCCCAGGGTCCCCAAGGCAAGCCCCATCATCCCCCACCCGCCCCAGGGTCCCTGTCACCCCAGGGTCCCTCCCTGGCCACGTTCTCCTTCATCCCTCCCCCCCCCCTCAGCATCCCTTCCTGCCCTGGGTTCCCCATCACCCTGGGGGTCCCCATTGTCCCCCGGTATCCCCTATTATCCCAAGGTTCCCGTCACCCTGGGGTCCTCATAACCCTAAGTTCCACCCGTGGCCGTGTCCCTGTCACCCCAGATTCTCCACCACCCTCCCCAAGCCCTCATCACCCCCCCCCCCCCAAAACCTGGGGTGCCCCCCCCTCCCCACCTGCTCCAGCCCGGGCTGGGTGCTGTTGTAGAGGGTGCGGGTCTCGAGGTGCTGGGGGACGAGGTGACAGGCGTGGAGGACGTGCAGGGCCAGGCGCTCGCGGGGAGCCCCGGGGTGCCGGCGTGGGTGGGGGCTGCTCTCTGCAAAGCCGAACCGTCGCATCCGTGGGACAGGATCCGGACACCCCCCCCCTCGCCCTCCCCTATCCCCCCCCCCCCCCCACCCGGACCCCCACCCACCAAAGTGGCTGAGGAGGAAGGTTTGGTCCCCAAAGGTGACGGCGGTGCCCTCAGCGCTGAAGTGGGGGGCTGGCAGCCCCCGGGTGCGGGCGAAGTGCTCCAGGGCCCGGCTCGGGGACAGCTGGTCCCTCCAGCACCCGGGGCCGGTGCTGCGGGGACAGCGGGTGGGCTGGGGGCCCTCCTGGGTGTCCCTTCCCTGGCCATCACACCTCCTGGGTGTCCCCTCCCTGGCCATCGCCCCTCCTGGGTGCCCCCTCCCTGGCCATCGCCCCTCCTGGGTGTCACCCCCCTGGCCATCGCCCCTCCTGGGTGTCCCCTCCCTGGCCATCACACCTCCTGGGTGTCCCCTCCCTGGCCATCACCCCTCCTGGGTGTCACCCCCCTGGCCATCGCCCCTCCTGGGTGTCCCCTCCCTGGCCATCGCCCCTCCTGGGTGTCACCCCCCTGGCCATCGCCCCTCCTGGGTGTCCCCTCCCTGGCCATCACCCCTCCTGGGTGTCACCCCCCTGGCCATCGCCCCTCCTGGGTGTCCCCTCCCTGGCCATCACACCTCCTGGGTGTCCCCTCCCTGGCCATCACCCCTCCTGGGTGTCACCCCCCTGGCCATCGCCCCTCCTGGGTGTCCCCTCCCTGGCCATCACCCCTCCTGGGTGTCACCTCCCTGGCCATCGCCCCTCCTGGGTGTCCCCCCCCGGCCATCGCCCCATCTCCCTGTGCCCCTCACTGTGCCCAACCCGTTGCCATCTGGCTGGGCCCATCCCTGTGCCCACCCCCACGTACCACCCCCCCCCCATCCCTCTGTCCCCTACCCCATCCTAATCCACCTGTGCCCATCCTGTCCCCACCCCAGCTCCCTGCCCCCACCCATTCCCTCGCCATCCCCTTGTGCCCCCCTCCCACGTACCCACCTCATCCCAATCACGCTGTGCCCATCTCCCTGTGCCACCCCCAACCCCCTGTGCCCACCCTGTGCCCATCCCTGGTCCCAACTCCTCCCCATCTCCCTGTGCCCTCCCTCCCCATCCCCTTACACCCATCCCCCCCGTGCCCATTTCTGTCCCTGTGCCCATTGCTGTCCCCACCCCCCTGTGCCACCCCCATCCCCCTGTGCCCGCCCCTGTCCCCAACACCCCTGTGCCACCCCCATTCCCTGCGCCCACCCCCGTGCCCACCCTATACTCCTCTCCTTGTGCCCATCACCCTGTCCCCATCCCCATGCCCACTCCTGGCCCCAGGACCGTGCACCCTGATGCCCCCAACCCCCCCGTCCCCCCCCCCAGGGTCACCCACGTGCAGTAGAAGGCAGGCAGCCCGCAGTGGGCGCGGAAGCGGGAGAGCAGGCGGTTCTCCAGGTCGATGGTGGTGGTGCCGATGTCCTGGTCGGGTGGCAGCAGGTCGTAGTCCAGCAGTGAGACCCGCAGGTCCTTCTCCAGCGGGATGGTGCCCGTCACCTCGAACAGCCTGGCAGCGGGGGTGCCATCAGCCCCGGGGACACGCTGAAGCGGGGGCTGGCACCCACTGGCGTGGGGAGTGGGGACCCGTAGGCGTGGGGACCTGCTGCTATGGGGGTTCGGTGGCACGGGGACCTGGTGGCATGGGGACCCACCAGCATGGGGACTGGGGCAACTGGTGGCACGGGGACCCACCAGCATGGGGATTGGGGACCCACCAGCGTGGGGACTGGGGACTGGGTGGCATGGGGACCCACCAGCATGGGGATTGGGGACCCACCAGCGTGGGGACTGGGGACTGGGTGGCATGGGGACCCACCAGCATGGGGATTGGGGACCCACCAGTGTGGGGACTGGGGACTGGGTGGCATGGGGACCCACCAGCATGGGGATTGGGGACCCACCAGCGTGGGGACTGGGGACTGGGTGGCATGGGGACCCACCAGCATGGGGATTGGGGACCCACCAGCGTGGGGACTGGGGACTGGGTGGCATGGGGACCCACCAGCATGGGGATTGGGGACCCACCAGCGTGGGGACTGGGGACTGGGTGGCATGGGGACCCACCAGCATGGGGATTGGGGACCCACCAGCGTGGGGACTGGGGACTGAGTGGCATGGGGACCCACCAGCATGGGGATTGGGGACCCACCAGCGTGGGGACTGGGGACTGGGTGGCATGGGGACCCACCAGCATGGGGATTGGGGACCCACCAGCGTGGGGACTGGGGACTGGGTGGCATGGGGACCCACCAGCACGGGGACTGGGGCATTGGGTGGCACAGGGACCCACCAGCATGGAGACTGGGGCATCTGGTGGCACAGGGACCCACCAGCACGGGGAGTGGGGCATTGGGTGGCACGGGGACCCACCAGCATTTGGACTGGGGCAACTGGTGGCATGGGGACCCAACAGCATGGGGATTGGGGACCTGGTAACATGGGGACCCACCAGCATGGGGACTGGGGACCTGGTGGCATGGGGACCCACCAGCATGGGGAATGGGGACCTGGTGGCATGGGGATCCAGTGGTGTGGCGACCCAGTGGCATAGGGACCTGGTGGCACAGGGACAGGTTGGCATGGGGGGCATGCTGACATGGGCATTGGGGCCCCACCAGCCCCTCTGGGCACCCCCTCACAGTGCTGGGCCCTCCCCAGGCTGCTGCCACCCAGGGGTGACAGTGCCACCGGGCCACCCACCCTGGCCATACCTGCCAAAAACAGGCTCCAGGGTGTTGGGCACGTACTGGTCCCGCTGGCCCAGCGTCTTTGTCCCCAGCGAGACGCGGATGTAGGGGTCACACTGGCAGCAGGGAGAGGACCGTCAGGGTGGCACAGGGTGGGGGGTAGAGAGGACAAGGGACCCCTGCCCAGCACCCATGGGTGGCCTTACCAGCCCGTTCCTGTCACGGGGGGGCAGGTCGAAGGCTCGGACGACGTAGACCCTCACCAGGCACTTTTGGGGCTGGCTGGGGGGCAGCTCCTGGAAGTGGCGTGGCGGCGGGGGCACCCCGGGGTCCTCGGGCAGGGGGTAGATCCGGAAAAGCCCCTGCAAGAGCCACCCAGACGTGCACCCCGGGGTGCCCCCACCCCGGCTCTGGGGTCCCGCGGGGGCTCTCACCCACCTTGAACTCACCCACCGGCACCGGGTCGTCCCCCGCCGCAGGGTGACCCCCCGGCTGGTAGAGCGGGAAGGTCTGGCAGAAATCCTGCAGCCCCTGGAATTCGGGCACGGCCTCCAGCTCGCAACTGTAGATCTGGGGAGAAGTTCCTGTCCTAATCCTTGTCCCCATTCCCGTCCCCATCCCCATCTTGGTGCTTGTCCCCATCCCATTCCTGTCCTCTTCCTCACCCTTGTCCCCATCCCAGCTTCGTCCTTATCCTGGTCCTCATCTCGTCTTCAGCCCTGTCCTTGTCCCCATCCCATCCTCTTCTTCATCACTGTCCCTGTCCCCAGCGCGTTCCCCTCCCAATCCCCATCCCTGACCTTGTCCCCATCCCATTTCCATCCCTGTCCTGTCCCAATCCCCACCTCATCTCCACCACTGTCCCTGTCCTCATCCTGTCCCCATCCCTACCCCATCTTCATCCCTACCCCCACCCGTGTCCTTGTCCCCAGCCATCCCCGTCCCAATCCCCTGCTTTGTTCTTGTCCCCATCCCATCCCCCCTCCATCCCTATTCCTGTCCCTACCCCCATCCTTGTCCCCTGTCCCCTGCTCCAGGTCCCAGGCTCTGCCTCACCTTCAGCCTGTCCCTGTTAGTCCCCCGGCGGCTCTTTGCCTTGTCCCCCATGGCCGCGTAGAATTTGCTCCACCAGTCATCCTCCTCCTCATCTTCATCCTCCTCCTTCTCCACAGTCTGGTGGGGAGCAGGGTCAGGTGGGGACGGGTGGCCCGGTGGCCCCGGTGGCCCCGGTCCCGTGCCCACCTTGTCCGCAGCCCGCTTCTCGGCGGTGATCCTGGGTAGTCTCTGCAGGGAGCAAAGGGGACTACTTGGGGAAACTGAGGCACGGGGCCGGGGACCCTGGTGTCCCGCGGTGCTGAGGCTGGGTGCTGAGGGCTTGGGGGGGGACTCACTTGAGCTATCCTGCCCCAGGGAGTGGCTGCTGGGGGGGAGAGGGGCAAATAAATCATCCTGGAGGTGGGCATGGGGCAGGGAGTGTCGGGGATGGGGTGAGGATGGGGCAGGGGGTACCAGGGATGGGGATGGGGGTGTCAGGGGTGGGGACAGGGGTGGGGAAGGGGGTACCAGGGATGGGGATGGGGGTGCCAAGGATGGGGATGGGGGGTGTCAGGGATGGGGATGGGGGTGCCAGGGTTAGGGATGGGGATGCCAGGGATGGGGAGAGGGGTGGGGAAGGGGGTACCAGGGATGGGGATGGGGGTGCCAAGGATGGGGATGGGGGGTGTCAGGGATGGGTCAGGGATGGGGAAGGGGGTACCAGGGATGGAGGTGCCAAGGATGGGACAGGGGGTCCCAGGGATGGGGATGGGATGAGGGCACAGCTGGGGCAGGGATGGGGCAGGGGGTGCCAGGGCTGGGACAGGGCCGTACCGGAGCCAGGTGGGGAGGTTCTGGGGCCGTGGGGCTGCCCCTCGCCGTGGGGCTGCCCCTCGCTGTGGGGCTGGCAGCAGTACTGCCCCAGGCCCCGCACGCAGGCCTGCCCCACCTCGGGCCGGTACCCGAAATCCCGCGTGTCCAGCACCCGCAGCCGGATGGGGGGCACGTACTCCTCCTCTGCTGGCAAGTGCTGAGGCCGAGCCCCACCGTCACCCCGGGGTGCCGGCGGCAGCACCCATGGGTGGGGGTGCTCCCCCTCCCCGTCCACACACACACACACACCCCCTCCCCATCCTCACCAGCATCAGCAGGAAGGCATTGATGGGGAAATTGGGGTTGGTGGCGAGGTCAGTGATGGTGGGGGTCCGCAGGGTCTGGCCCCCGCACTGCACCTCCAGGCTGGGCGCCCGCACGCTGCCGCGCAGCCCCCGCAGCCCCCACGCCAGCACCTGGGGGGGCACCCAGCAGCTGTCACCCCACCCCTGGGCTCCCCAGGGGTCACCTTGAGTGGCTGGATGCCCGGTGGGATGCTGAAGGTGCCCGTCCCCCTTCTTGTCCCTGTCCCCATCTCCATCCCCAGCTTGTCTTTGCCCCTCTGTGCCTGTCCCCATCTTCATCCCTGTCCTTGTCCCTGTCCCGTTTCCATCCCCTTCTTCATCCCTGTCCCCATCATTGAGGTCATCCCCAGCCTGTCTTCATCCTTGTCCCCATCCCTGTCTTTGTCCCAGTCCCACCCCCTGGACCTTCATCACTGTCCCTGTGTCTCTTCCCAGTTTGCTCCCCTCCCAGTCTCCATCTCAGACCCTGTCCCCATCCCTGTCCACATCCTGTCCCCATCCCTGTCCCATCCCCATCCCATCCCTGTCCCCATCCTCATCTCATCCCTGTCCCCATCCCTGTCCCATCCCTGTCCACAACCTGTCCTCATCCCTGTCCCATCCCCATCCCATCCCTGTCCCCATCCCTGTCCCCATCCCTGTCCCATCCCCATCCCATCCCTGTCCCCATCCTCGTCTCATCCCTGTCCCATCCCTGTCCCCATCCATGTCCACATCCTGTCCCCATCCCTGTCCCATCCCTGTCCCATCCCTGTCCCCATCCTCGTTTCATCCCTGTCCCCATCCTCGTCTCATCCCTGTCCCATCCCTGTCCCCATCCCTGTCCCATCCCTGTCCCATCCCCCTCCCATCCCTGTCCCCATCCTCGTCTCATCCCTGTTCCCATCCCTGTCTCATCCCTGTCCCCCTGCTGTCCCTATCCCTGTTCCCATCCCTGTCCCATCCCCATCCCATCCCTGTCTTATCCCTGTCCCATCCCTGTCCCCAACCCATCCCCAACCCAGACCTTGTCCCTCCTGTCTTCATCCCTGTTCCAAGCCCTGTCCTCGTCCCCATCCCATCCCCTTCTCCACCCCTGTCCCTGTCCCCAGCCTGTTCCCCTCCCTGTCCCTCTCTCCGTCCCCCCATGTGTCACCTCCAGTGCCACCAGCCTCAGGAGTGGCCGGATTCCCAGGGGGACGCTGAAGACCCCCTGCCTCCATGGCGGGGTGCTGACCTGCGCCAGGGACCCATCCTGCGGGGGGGGAACGACGATGACGATGGGACCCCATCACCTGGCTGCCCCCCCATGCCACTCCTCCCCCCTCCCAGCCCCTCACCTCGGCGTCGTGCAGCAGCTCAAAGGCAGCCAGCAGCTCCCCGGCCGGCCCCCCCGGCCCCCCCAGAGGGTAACGCTGAAGCCGGGGGGGCTGCCGGTGCCCAACGTCCAGCCAAACATCTGGGGGGCACACACACCTCCCCAGGAAACCACCGGCACCCTGCAAGGCATTGCTTGGGCTATGGGTGCTCCCCCCCACCCAGGGGTGCCGTACCCCTCCGTCTTGGTCGAAGATCTCCACCACCACGGCGGGGGGTTCATCCCGGACACCCCGGGGGTCCCCGTACAGCAGCACCCGGTGAAAAAGCAGCGTCTGGTCCCAGAGAGGGTCCAGGGTGCCGGGCAGCACCCGGGTGCTCTGGCTGACGTAGGCGAAGGAGACGTGGGCGACGGGGTCTGGGTGACGACGACACCGTCAGCACCCTGGGGTGCCCCACCGGGGTGTGTGTGTGTGTGGGGGGGTGTCGGGGAGGGGGGGGGTCCCACCTGCGGTGCCCTTGGTGCCGCGGGGGGTCAGCTCCAGCGCCTGGAAGATGTAGCAGCGGAGCTGGAAGAAGTTGGGCTCTGCGGGAGAGGCAGGGGCTGGCAGGGGGGCCTGACCACCCCCCCACACCCCCCGGCCCATCCCAGTGTCCTGCCCACCCCCCAGCACTGTGTCCCCTGGGACTCACGCTGGAAGGTGCAGAGGATGAAGGGCACGGGCTGCTGCGGGGGGGTCCGGGATGAGCCCCGCTCTCGCCGCTCCGCCACAGCCGGCTCGTCCTTCTCGGCCGGTTCCTCCGTGCCCTGCGGCGGGGTGGGAGGTGGGGTGGGGGTCCCCTTGTCCCCGCTGTCCCCCAGCCCTGCATCCTGCTGTCCCACCTCCTATCGCCCCAGCATCCCCCCAGCCCTCCGTCCCCCCACGCCACCCTCCCTCCACCCTCCTCTTCATTACCCCGGGGACCCCCAGTTCCCTTCCCCCCCCCCCGCCACCAGCTGCCTCTCCTACCGGGGAGCCCTCCAGGAGGAAGAGGGGTGCCACGGGTGGGGGCTGCACGGGCACTATGTCCCGGTGCCAGCAGCGTCGCCGACACACGTCACCCGCCTGGGGCTGGAGGTGGAAGCGGCAGCCCCAGAGGGACCCGTACTCCCAGGCTTCGTCCCCCGCTGCCACCTCGGGGCTGTGCTGCGGGGACAGGGGGGACGCAGGGGACATGCACGGCGTGGCGCTGGGGCACGGACAGGGATGCTCCCAGCAGCTCATTGGTGGCCCAAGGGCTGTCCCTGCCACTTGCATCCCCCGACACTGCCGTCACAGACACCCTGGTCCTGTCACCCCATCCCTGCCACCCTCATCCCTGCCACCCCCCCCATCTTGTCACCCCATCCCTGACACCCCCATCTTGTCACTCCAACCTCTGTCATCCCATCACTGTCACCCCATCCCTGACACCCCCCCATCTTGTCACCCCAATCCCTGTCACCCTCATCTCTGCCACCCCCATCCCTGCCACCCCCCATTTTGTCACCCCAATCCCTGTCACCTTCATCCCTGCCACCCCCATCTTGTCACCCCAACCCTGTCACCCTCATCCCTGCCACCCCATCCCTGCCACCCCCATCTTGTCACCCCAATCCCTGTCACCCTCATCCCTGCCACTCCCATCTTGTCACCCCAATCCCTGCCACCCCAATCCCTGTCACCCCATCCCTGCCACCCCCACCTTGTCACCCCCATCTTGTCACCCTGTCTCTGCCACTCCAATCCCTGCCCCCGCTGTCCCAGCCACCCTGTCCCAGCCACCCTGTCCCTGCCACCCCACCCCTGTCACCCCATCCCTTCCATCCCTGTCCCTGCCGCCCCCATCCCTGCCACCGCCCCATCCCCACCGCCCCAACCAGCTGGAGGAAGGTGGCCACATCCTGCTCCCGTCCCGGGGCGCCGGGGTCCTTGCGGCGGGTGCGCAGCCAGCGCCGGCGCCGGTGCGTGTGGTACGTCTTCTCGGCGGGGTGCCACGCCGGCGGGGGGCTGCCGGGGGCCGCGCTCGCCCCGTACTCCCAACCTGCAGCACCCAGGTGTCCTCATCACCGCCACCCCCCCCCCCCCACCCCGGGGGGCCCGGTGGGGGACACCCACTCACCGCCCTCATCCACGGCCCCTGCCGCGTCCACCCGCCAGCCGTCGGTGATGTGCCAACCTTGGGGACACGCCACCTCCTCCTTGGGTGGCACCGCCGCGCCGCTCTGCAAAAACCGGGGGGGAGAGCTGAGCCCCGACGCGCTCGTGTCACCCCACTCCTGGTGTCCCCCCGCCACCACCACATCGCCGCCCGCTCACGGCATCGGTGCTGGCCACGGCGGCGGGTCCCCACTCCCCGCCGAGCCGCCGGCTCTCATTCTCGTAGACCTCCTCCAGCACCTCGCCCACGTTGGTCTCCGTGTCCAGCAGCAGCCTGGGGACAAGGGGGACAGCGCATCACCCCACCTCGAGGTCCCCAAGGTGGCTGGGGGGGGGTGTGTGTGTGGGGGGGACACACACACACACTCACCGCCGCTGGGGCTCCACTCTCCAGGGTCCATCCCAGCGCCAGCCCTTGGGGGGCTGGATCCTGTGGCGGGGGAGCCCCGCTTTGCCGGCGCTGTCGGAGAAACCGGGGCGCCCCAGCAGCCCCCGGGGACCCCATTTGCCCAACAGCTTGGTCTGGTTTTCATACTGGGGGTGGGGACGACACATACATGGGGTTGAGGGGGGGTGGTGGGGAGGGGGATCCTGGGGCGTCCCCCCACCACCACCCCCCTCCACCCTAGGGCTCACCGTCTCGGCGTAGATGCGTAGGGTGCCCTCGAGGTGCCGTGGCAGGTCCCCGCTGTCGGTCACCCGTCCCAGCCACAGCCGGAGCCGGAGCTGGGCACGGATGTCCCCAGAGCCCTGCGCCCCACAGCATGGGTGGGGGCATGGGGGGACACGGGTGGGGATAGAGGGGACATTGAGGGGAGACATGGAAGGGGACACTGGAGCAGGCATGTAGAAGATCTACGGGGGACACAGAGGGGACGTGGAGGGGATGGGGGAGACAGAGGGGATATGGAGGGGATATGGAGGGGACACAAAGGGGACATGGAGGGGATGTGGGGCGGGATATAGGGGGGACATGGAGGGGTTGTGGAGGGGACACAGAGGGGATGTGGGGTGGGATATAGGGGGGACATGGAGGGGATGTGGAGGGGACACAGAGAGGATATGGGGGGACATGGTGGAGACACAAAGGGGACATAGAGGGGATGTGGGGAAGGATGTAGAGGGGACATGGAGGGGACACGGAGGGGACATGGAAGGCATGTGGAGGGGTCATGGAAGGGACATGGAGGGGATGTGGAGGGGACACAGAGGGGACATGGAGGGGACACACAAAGGGGACATGGAGGAGATGTGGGGGTGATATAGGGGGGATGTGGAGGAGATACAGAGGGGACATGGAGGGGATAAGGTGGGGATGTGGGGCAGGATACAGAGGGGACGTGGAGGGGGGACACGCAAAGGGGACATGGAGGTGATGTGGGGGTGATATAGGGGGGACATGGAGGAGATACAGAGGGGACATGGAGGGGGCACAGAGGGGACATGAAAGGGATGTGGAGGGGACATGGGAGGGACATGGAGAAGATATAGAGGGGACATGAAGGGAACACACAAAGGGGACATGGAGGGGATTTGGGGCAGGATATAGAGGGGACACGGAGCAGACATGGAGGGGGCACAGAAGGGACATGGAGGGGACAGGGAGGGGACACAGAGGGGACATAGAGGAGGTGTGGAGGGGACAAGGAACAGACATGGAGGAGATAGAGGGGACACAGAGGGGACATGAAGGGGACACAGAGGGGATGTGGAGGGGACATGGGGAGGTGGGAGGGGTTCATGGATGGGACCCAGGGGAGATGGAGGGGACATGGGTGGGACCCAGGGGAGATGGAGGGGACATGGGTGGGACCCAGGTAACACAGGAGGGACACGGAGGTGGCACGGAGGGGACGGGGGGTGCCTACCATCAGGAAGAGGGTCTGGATCCGTCCGCAGAGCCTGCCGCAGGCGCCGGGGCCGCTCTGGGAGAACATGACGTCGGACGCGGGGACACGGGCACAGGCCACCCGCTGCTCCCCCCGCAGCAGCCACAGCAGCACGTCGGGCACGCCGGCCTGCGGCTGCGGGGAGGGGGGGAGAGAGAGACCGGTGGGCTGAGACCGGCCACAACTCATCACAGCGATCTCACACACACACACCCCCACACACACACCCCCACCCCTCCAGCCCCGGCTCCCACCTCGACAGCCAGAGCGGCCACACGTCCCAGCCAGCCCTCGGCCACCGGCAGCAACGCGTCCCAGCCGGCTCTCGGTGGCATCGCCGCCGCCGCGGCCACGCGCCGCAGGAGGTGAAGACGGGCGGCCCGGAGGTGGGCGTCCAGCGGCGTGGGGGTGGGCTGCGCCTCCAGACGGGGCAGCGCCCGCCTGCAAACAGCGCCCCCCCCCCCCCCCTCCAAAATGTTCTAGTTTCCCCCAAAATGCACTATTTCTCCCCACCTCCCCTTTCCCTGTTTCCCCCCCCCACTTTGTTTCCCCCCTCAGATTCCCCCTTTCCCCACAAAATAGCTTCCCCCCCTAAACATCCTGTTGCACCCCCCAAACTTCCCATTTTGTCTCCAATTGCCCCATTTACCCCCAAAATATCCCATTGTCCTCTAAAATTCCTCACTTCCCCCAATTATCCCATTTTGTCCCCAATTGCCCCATTTCCCCCCCAAATATTCCATTTTTCCCCCAGCGCTCCTGTTTTCCTCCCACAGTGCCCCAATTTACACTCCAAATGGTCCATTTTCCTCCAAAATGCCCTGTTCAGCCCCCAAATGTCCCCTTTCCCCCCAACTGCCTCATTTTCCCCCAACTGTATCATTTTCTCCCGAAATGCCCCATTCCCCCCAGATGCCCAGTTTCCCCCTCTCAAATATTCCATTTTCCCCCAATTGTCACATTGTTCCCCAAATATCCCACTGTCCTCTCAAATTCTTAATTTCTCCCCCAATTGTCCCATTTTCCTCCAAAATGCCTCATTTCTCCCCAAATGCCCCATGTCCCCCTCAATTGTCCCATTTTCCCCCAAATCTCCCACTGTCCTCTAAGATTCCTCATTTTTTCCCCCATTTCCCCCTCAAACATCCCATTTCCCTCCAATTACCCCATTTCCCCCCAAATAACTCACTTCCCCCCTCCAAACACCCCATTTCCCCCTCAATTGTCCCGTTTTCCCCCAAATATCCCATTGTCCTCTAAAATTCCTCATTTTTTCCTCCATTTCCCCCTCAAACATCCCATTCCCCCCCCCCAACACCCCAATTTCCCCCCCGTTTTCCCCCCAAATCTCCCATTGCCCTCTAAAATTCCTCATCCCCCCCGCCAATACCCCATTCCCCCCACCGCAAACCCTGCCTGGCCAGCCCAGGGGTCCCCCCCAGCACCCACCCATCCACTGTTTTGGGACACCCAACCCCCCCCCCCCCCAGGGACCACCCGCTCACCCGCAGTCCTGGCCCAGCTGCCGCAGCAGCCTCCTGCCGACGTCCCCCCGGGTGTCCCCCCGGGCGCCCCGCAGCTCCGCCACATTCCTCTCCTGCGAAAACGTCCCCAACCCAGAGGAGGGGAAAATTTGGGGGGGGGATGACATCCTAGCCCACCCCCGCCGTCACCCATGGGTGGCTCACCAACCGCCGGCACGTGGCACGCAGGAGGTTCAGGGCATCCCAACGGTGACCGGCGTCCTCCCAAGATGAGGTGACAGCCACCACCGGCTTGTCCCCGTACCACGGCAGGTAGTGATAGCGGTTGCCTGCACCCAGAGGGCACTCAGCACCCCATGGGACACCCCTGCGTGCGTGTGTGTGTGTGTGTCCCCTCAGCATCCCGCTCACCATCAAAGAGGGGACAGCCGTGCGGGGTGACGGAGGCGGCCGGCTTGCAGGTGACATCGCTCGTGTCGCCGTAATTGCCGAGGCTGAGCTCGAAGCGCAGGAGCTCGGGGCCGGCTGGCACCATGGTGGCCGAATAAAAGACCCCGCACAGCCCGAAGCGGCGGCGGGGCAAGTGGCGCTGTGGCCCACCCCCCCCCCAAAAAAAAAAAAAAAAAAGGTTAAAATACCCTCAAAATACTCAAATGGCGCTTAAAAAATAAAATAAGAAACGACCCCGGTGGGTGGCATCGCACCGTGTCCCCACCTGCACCGAGATGATGTCCTCGGGGGCGATGGTGTCTTGCTGGCGCCCATCCGGGGTCCCCATGTGGGTGCTGAGCTCCAGCAGCACCCGGCCCTGATAAGCCACGCCGGTGTCCTGTAAAATAAAGAGGGGGTGTGTGTCTGGGTGGGTGGGTGTCCATGTCCACCCCCCCCCACCAAAAAACGGGTGCTGTCCCCATCCTGCCACCCACTCACGGTGCTGGGTGTCTTGGTAGAATCCGGCCGGGGACTGTAGAAGGGGAGGAAGCTGGGTCCGAAGCAGGGTAAGAAGCCAGGAGTCCCCTCTGGGGGTGAAAGAGGGGGTTCAGTGGGGGAAAAAGGGGGGGGGGGTCTGGGTGCTGGGGACCCCCCACCCATGGGTGGCCCCTGCTCACCCTCAAGCTCAGCACCGGCGGAGGAGATTTGGGAGAGGTGGAGGGTGGCAGTGCCCAGGACCTTGCTGCTGCGGGACCTATGGGTGGGCAGTGAAAGGGATGGGGGGGGTCCCCTAATAAGGGGGGGTCCTCCAAAACCTGGGGGAGGTCCCCCAAAACGTTGGGCGGGTCCCCCAAAACCGGGGTGGGGGGGTGTCCCCCCACCCCACTTACCCGCTGAGGATGGCCAGTTGGATCTCATCACAGATGGGGGGCAGCTGTGGAGAGAAAAAAAACAGGAGGGGGTGTGTGTGTTGAAATGGGGGTGCCCTCCCTTTTCGGGGGTACCTCAGCTTTGAGGGGGGTGCAGGATGTATGCTGGAGCTGGGGGAGGGGGGGGCACCTCACCCGCAGGGGGAAGAAGAAAACCTCGTTCCACGTCGGGTTGGCGTCGGGGGGCATCACCCGGGTGCAGAGCTGCGGTGGGCAGAGCCACGAGTCCCCTGTGTGTGTGTGTCTCCCAGGATCGGGCCCCGCCGTGTGTGTCCCCCCCCCCCCGCCCCCCCCAGCACCCACCGTCCTGCCGGCAAAGCTGACCCGCACCGCCGCCGCCACGAAGCCCCTCTTGCCGCCGGCCGGTAACACCGAGGGGAGGTATTGCCGAGCCGGCTCTGCTGCACCGAGGATGGGGAGAGGTGAGCAGAGAAGTGGAGGAGGGGGGGGGGTGGGGAGAAGGGGTGTGTGTCCCCCCCAAATCCACACACCCCCTCAAACCCCTTTCCCCCCCCAAAAAAAAAAACCCCGGTGCCCACCCTGCGGCAGGTCCTCGGCGCGGTAGACGCGGAGCCGGAGCGTGGCGGCGCACGGTGGCGGCTGCAGCAGGTTGGCCTCCACGTCCTCGTCCCCCGCCGGCTCCTCCGGCTCCTTTTTTGGGGTGGGGGGGGGGGTGTGGGAAAATGGGGAACTCCCCCCACCCCACCCCACCCCCCTAGGAATATTTCTTTTGGGGGGTGCTGGGGAGGATGAGGGGGGACTCACCGTCACCGGCTCGCCGGCGCGGAGGACGGCCAGGCTGACACGGAGGTACCCCTGGGACCCGGCGTCAGGGCGATCAGGGTGCCGCAGGCTCAGCCACTTCCAGCTCAAGCTGTGTCCTGGCCCCGTGGGAGACCCCCCGGCGTCACCCCGATGTCACCTCAGATGTCACCGCGGTGTCACCCCAACCCCCCCCTCGCCTACCCGGCGCCCGGTAGACGGTGCCGACGTCCAGCTGTGGGGGATGGCAAAGGGGGTGAGAGCGGCCGAGCCGCGGCGTGACGCCCCGTTCCCGAGTCACCGTCCTCACCTGGAAGACGCCGATGATGGCTTTGGCACGGGTGGCCCGCGAGTCCAGAGCCTGTGACAAGGAGGGGACACGGCATCAGCGGCCACCCCGCTGTCCCCGTCCCCACCGGTGCCACCGATCTGCCCCCCTGGACCTGGATGAGGATGGGCTCTGGAGCCAACTGGGCAGGCGTCCGGTGGAAATGTTGGGAAAACACCTAAAAAACGGGCAAAAGGGGGTGAAGGCGGGGTGAGGGGGACACCGGCAGGTCCCCGCGTGTCCCCTCCCTGGCGTCACCTCGTTGTAGTAGGGGTTGTTCCCCACTCGGATCCTGGTCCTGAAGCGGTGCTGGCCGATGAGGACTGTCACCACTGGTTTGATGTCATTGCCCTGGAGCTGGTGGCCCTTGATGACCCTCACCCGTACCTGTGGGACAGGCGGTGACATGGTGGCCGCCGGATGGGACGTCACCCCTGGGTGCCACCGCGCCCATGGGTGCCATACCTGGAAATCCTCTTTCCTCCCCGCCGGGGTCTTGTCGACACGGGGGGGTGACCCCGGTGACACTGCCGGTGGTGGCACTTGCAGGGGGACCACGGTGTCCCCAGCTGTGCCACGGGGGACGTAGGAGCAGCGGAGGGTGACGGTGCACTGCAAAAGGACGGGTGACACCCCAGACCGTGCCTGGTGACACCCTGGGGTGCTGCTGGGTGGGTGCGTGGGTGGGTGCTCACCCCCGTGGGCTGTCCCTTGGGGTCCAGCAGCGGGACTTGACTGAGGGACAGTGGCAGCCCGGGGTCGGCCACCAACCGGTCCAGTGACACCGTGGTGGCACCCAGGTCCCTGCGGGGACACGGTTAGGGTGACCATGCTGGGGGTGGTCCCCCCGGGGTGCCCACTCGTGGGTGCTACTCACCCCTGGGGCGCTGGCTGGCCCCAGTGCCGGAGGCGCAGGGTCAAGCTGGCCGTGGGGTGCAGGGGACACGTGCCCAGTGGCCATGCCAGCGTCTGGGGCGGAGGGGGAGGTGACAAGGGCTCAGTGGGGGGTGACCCGAGTGTCCCTGCGCCACCGCGGGCCACCCTGGGGTCACCTCACCTCGTTCCAGGTGGGACTGTGCTCCTCTGGGATCACCCGGGTGCTCCTGGGGACACCTGAGGTGGGGATGGGACAGAGGGTGGTGGCACGTCAGGGTGGCTGATGCCATCCTGTCCCACGGGGACGGCCACCGTGGTGTGTGTGTGTCCCCCCTCCTCAAACCCAGCGGTACCTCTGAAGCGGGCAGACACGTGGACGCCGGGCCCGGAGCCGGTGGCCCCGGGGATGTGGGCGCTGGCCACCAGCAGCCGCAGCATGGCCGTGTCCCCAGGCCACCGTGGAGGTGGTGTCACCGAGGCGCCGCCACCGCGGTGCCGGGACGCGTTCCAGAACGTCACCGTGGGGACAACGGGGCAGGGACGCTGCTGTTGGCTTGGTGGGGTGCCCCTGTGTCCCTGTGTGCCCATGTCTGTGAACACCCGTGTCACACTGTCCGTGTCTCCACGTGTACCCCGGACACCGTGTCACCGTGCCCATGTGTCTACTTGTACCCGTGGCACTGAGCCCATGAGTCCCTCTGTCCCCATGTCCCCATGTCCCTGCGTCTGTGTGTACCCACATGATTTGTCTCAATGTCTGTGTGTTCCCCTGACTGTGTGTCCCTGTGTCCCCACGTCCATGTGTCCCCATGACACCATGTCCCCATGTCCACATGCCCCCATATCCCCACTTGTCCCCATGTCTGTGTGTCCCCATGTCCCCACATCCCTGCATCCCCATGTCTGTCTGTCCCTTTGTCCCCATGTCACTGTGTCCCCATGTCCATGTATCTCTATGTCCCCATGTCCATGTGTCCCCATGTCACTGTCTCCCCATGTCCGTGTGTCTCTCCATGTCACTACATCCCCATGTCCACATGTCCCCATACCTCCACATCACTGCATCCCTGTGTTTCCATGTCCCTGTGTCCCTAAGTCACTGTGTCCCCATGTCTGCATGTCCCTATGTCCCCATGTCACTGTATCCCCACAGCCACATGCCCCCATGTTCCCATGTCACTACAACTCCATGTCTGTGTGTCCCTATATCACCATGTCCATGTGTCCCCACGGCACTACGCCCCCATTTCAGTGTGTCCCCATGTCACTGCATCCCCATGTCTGTGTGTGCCCATGTCATCGCATCCCCATGTCCCCATGTCCACATCTCCCCATGTCCCCACATCCCCACCTCCCCGTGTCCCCATGCCCTTGTGTCCCTTTAGCACCAAGTCCCCATGTCTCTGTGTCCCCATGTCCCTGTGTCCATATCCCGCCATGTCACCTCATCCCTATGTCCATGTGTCCTCATGTTGCTGTGTCACTGGTGTCACTGGACCCCCATGTCCCCATCTCCCCATGTCACCACACCCGCATGTCCCTGTGTCCCCATGTCCACATCTCCTCATGTCCCCACATCCCCACCTCTGCGTGTCACTATGTCCCCATGCCCTTGTGTCCCTTTAGCACCGAGTCCCCATGTCTCTGTGTCCCCATGTCCCTGTGTCCACATCTCCCCATGTCACCACACCCCCATGTCCCTGTGTCCCTATGTCCACATCTCCCCATGTCCCCGTGTCCCCGTGTCCCCATGCCCATGTGTCCCTTTAGCGCCGAGTCCCCATGTCTGTGTGTCCCCATGTCCCTGTGTCCACACCTCCCCATGTCCCCGCATTCCATGTCCCCGTGTCACCACGCCCACGCGTCCCTTTAGCACCGAGTCCACATATCTGCGTGTCCCCACATCACCTCATCATCCCACGGCAGCGTGTCCCCACGCCCCCCGCTCCGTGCCCCGCTCTCCGCGCTTTACCCCCATCCCGCTCCGCTCCTTCTCAATCCACCCTCCGCGCTTTACCCCCGCCCCGCTCCTCCGCGCATGCGCTGTCCGCCCCGCTCCCCGCGGGCGCGCCCGGCGCATGCGCGGCGCGGGGGCCGGCGGGATGCCAGGCGGGGGGCGGTAGGGCCATGTCGCAGCGCGGCGGGGACCGGGATCGCGACCGGGAGCGCGATCGCGACCGGGAGCTGCAGTGGTCGGCGCGGAGGATGGGGACGTCGTTGCTGCTGCAGCTGTCGGTGCACGAGCGGGAGCTGGACCTGGTTTGCCTGGACCACAGCTACGCCAAGCCCTGGAGCGCCCACCCCGACGCCAGCGCCGCTCGTCCCACCCGAATGCTTTTCCTCACACCGCGGCGGCAGCCCGGCACCGCCCTGTGAGCCCGGGGCGGCGGCTGTGGGGGGAGCGTGGGGCTGAGGGGCCTCTGTGGGGGCGGGTGGGCCGGGTTGGTCCTGAGGGGTTTGTCCGGGGACTGAGGGGGTCTTGAGGGGTCTGTGTGGGGACTGAGGGAGCCCTGAGGGGCCTCTGTGGGGAGTGGGGGGTCCTGAGGGACTTCTCAGAGGCCTCTGGGGGGTGCTGAGGGGTCTGTCTGGGGGGGTGCTGAGGGGTCTGGGGGGTGCTGAGGGGTCTGTCTGGGGGGGTGCTGAGGGGTCTGGGGGGTGCTGAGGGGTCTGTCTGGGGGGGTGCTGAGGGGTCTGTCTGAGGGTGCTGAGGGGTCTGTCTGAGGGTGCTGAGGAGTCTGTCGGGGGGGTGCTGAGGGGTCTGTCTGAGGGTGCTGAGGAGTCTGTCGGGGGGGTGCTGAGGGGTCTGTCTGGGGGGGTGCTGAGGGGTCTGTCTGGGGGGGTGCCGAGGGGTCTGTCTGGGGGGGTGCTGAGGGGTCTGTCTGAGGGTGCTGAGGGGTCTGTTTGGGGGGGTGCTGAGGGGTCTGTCTGGGGGGTGCTGAGGGGTCTGTTTGGGGGGGTGCTGAGGGGTCTGTCTGGGGGGGTGCTGTCTGGGGGGGTGCTGAGGGGGTCTGTCTGGGGGGGTGCTGAGGGGGTCTGTCTGGGGGGGTGTTGAGGGGGTCTGTCTGGGGGGTGCTGAGGGGTCTGTCTGGGGGGGTGCTGAGGGGGTCTGTCTGGGGGGGTGTTGAGGGGGTCTGTCTGGGGGGGTGCTGAGGGGTCTGTCTGGGGGGGTGCTGAGGGGGTCTGTCTGGGGGGGTGCTGAGGGGGTCTGTCTGGGGGGGTGTTGAGGGGGTCTGTCTGGGGGGGTGCTGAGGGGTCTGTCTGGGGGGGTGCTGAGGGGTCTGTCTGGGGGGGTGCTGAGGGGTCTGTGTGGGGGGGTGCTGAGGGGTCTGTGTGGGGGGGTGCTGAGGGGTCTGTGTGGGGGGGTGCTGAGGGGTCTGTCTGGGGGGGTGCTGAGGGGTCTGTCTGGGGGGGTGCTGAGGGGTCTGTCTGGGGGGGTGCTGAGGGGTCTGTCTGGGGGGGTGCTGAGGGGTCTGTCTGGGGGGGTGCTGAGGGGTCCTGAGGGGCCTGTGGAGTAGGTGTGTGTGAGGCTATGAGGCTGAGGGGCCTGTGGGGCAGGGAGGGCCTGTGAGGTGATAGTGTGGGGCTGGAGGGTCTGTGAAGGGAGAGTGGGGGGGCTGTGGGGCAGGGGAGGTCCTGTGGGGCTGAAGGGGTCTGTGTGGGGTCTGGGGGAGTCCTGAAGTGACCGTGTAGGGCAGGGAGGCTCTGTGAGGTGACAGTATGGGGCTGGGGGCTCTATGAGGAGAGAGTATGGGGTCTGGGGGGTCCTGAGGGGCCTGTGCGGCAGGTGTGTGGGGACGGTGGGGCTGAGGGGTCTGTGGGGCTGGGGAGGATCTGTGAGGGAAGAGTGGGGGGGGCTGTGGGGCTTAGGAGCCTATGTGGGGGCTGGGGGGTGTCCTGTGGGACAGGGGGGGCCTGTGAGGTGGCAGTGTGGGGCTGGGGGGTCTATGAGGAGAGAGTGGGGGGCAGGAGGAGGTTCTGTGGGGCTGAGGGGCCTATGTGGGGGCTGGGAGAGGTCCTGAGGGGCCTGTGAGGGGAGACTGGGGGAAGTCTTGTGGGGATGGGGGAGCTGTGTTGGGGGGGTGGCTCAGGGAATCCTGAGGGGTCTGTGAGGAGAAAGTGTGGGGCTGGTGTGGTGTGGTGGGGAGAGTGTGGCTGGGAAGATTAGAGCAGGTCTTGGGGAACAGCGTGGGCTGTGGGGGGGCTGAGTTGGGGGGCTCAGCTCGGCAGCTTGGGGCCAGGCTCAGGGCTGGTTTCCCAGCCTTGGCGTCGGAGTGGGAAGCGGGGTTGTGGCCGAGCCTCCGTGGTTTGGTTTAGGGTCAGGGTGTGGGGCTGGGTCTGGGGTCACAGGTGATTTTTGGGGTGAGGGATGGGAGTGTGCTCAGGGTCCTACCTCAGGCACTTCAACAGGGGCTGAATGGTCTCAGACCTGGTTATGAAGCTCAGTGAACTTTTCATTTTAAAGCACCGCAGACCCCAGGGTGTGCGATCCCCTTCTCTAAAGCTTAATCATTCCTGACAGTGAAGCGGATATCCCCATCGACGTCGAGACGGTGACGCCCACGCCCGTGCCGCTCTATGACAACCAGAAGGCGCGCAGCGTGATGAACGAGTGCGAGCGCCACGTGATGTTCGCTCGCACGGACGCTGATGCTCCGCCGCCGCCGGACGACTGGGAGGAACACGTCAACAGGTAGCCCGGGGATAGCAGAGAGGAGACATTCGGGCTCTAAGCAGCCACCCGCTGCGTGGTGTGGGTTGTTTTTTTTTTTTTTTTTAGTGTGAATCAATATGCAGTGACGTTCCTCAACGGCCTAATGTTCAAAGAAAATGAATTTTTGTGTCTGAATTCCTCATCTGTCTGCTGTGAAAGCTGTCGGGTTTAATGGTAGAGGATGGCCCAGTTGTTGAACCTCTCCTGCACATGAACTGTCTCCTGGTTGGAGGAGGCTGGGACAGTGAGTCATAAGATTGAGTTAAGGATCTATGTGTAGTCATGTTCCATTGTCAAAAATTAAAAATGAGGCTATGCATAAATTCCACCCTGTTAAAAACCCTCTCTGGAGCTGCAGTTGAGCCTGTTCACAGCCTTGATGTTACGAGGAACAGTGTGAGGTTTTTTCTGGGCAGTTTGTCTGAGAAACATGGTGATAATCAGTCCTTTCAGCATAGGTTATTTTGGTCTTATTTATTGCTTCTGCTGTTACTCTTGCTTTTCTGATACTTGGATGTTCACTGACACACCCTAGTACCATTTAAAACCTGGAGTTTTAAGTGAACCATCATCTAACGTAAATCCTTAGTAGCAAAACTCACTTTGTCTAGAGCTGTAGATCAGCTCTTGAGGCTGTGGTCTCAGCCGATGCCCAGCTGTGCTGCCTTCGGGCCCAGGCAGCAGCCTGCAGGACCTGGATGTGTGGGTAACAACGACCTACCTCTGGTTTTCTCAACAGGACAGGTTGGACAATGGCCCAGAACAAGCTATTTAATAAGATTCACAAAGCGCTGCAGTCGGACAGGCTGGCTCGCTTGGCTAACGAAGGGGTAAGGTCTTTTACTCCCTATTTCACTTTCCAGCAGAATCACTGCCT